AGGCCACAGCCACAAGGAGCTGGTAAAGGTGCTTTCAGTGTGTAAGGTGTGTTATCCTAGGAGATGCAGAAGAACAGGAATGCATTTGATATTGTCAGGAATAACATTTTGGGAAAAGCTCATAAATGCCAGTCTTAACAATTTCAGATTTGGGGGTGGGGTTGTAAACTGCTTGTCTAACAGAGTTTTGAAGGTACTAATGGCATATTTGATAAGAGATTGCAAACTCCTCCTAAACTTTTATCTTTCAAGGTTGTCCTGAGAAAATTTTATTCAGCAAAATACAAGCTGGAAAACAGAAGTGATCCTTTGAGTAAGTAGTGAACAAAAGGGGCATTTCTAGTAAATGAGTACTCCCAATTTGAGAATCTGTAATCACAGAATTCCCTCTAAAAGAGGGAACATAGTATTTACATGTGTCTTGGGGAGAGGAGGAAGCAAAAATTCGTGAACACTTTGTATTTTTACATTTATAGGAATGGAACTGCGCAGTCCCTTTTAAGACTTAAAACCCGTTGTCATTGCCTAACTTGTCGGAAGTAATTTAGTGAAAGGCAGATAAATTCTCCATATGTGTGTGTGTATCCTGGAAACCTTACCTCCTTGTAGCTAATCTCTTTTTTGAGTATACCAGAAGAGTAGTTTCTTGTACTGTATGGCTGGGATTACAAGTAGGAATTTGTGTCAGCCCTTGAAGGCTCCTCACTCTTCCAATGCACTTGTATTAAAAATTATCTATCTTCCAGGTACAGAGTCAGGCAGTCAGACTGCAAAAGAGCCTGCAAGCAATGAAGCCATGATTGAACTTAAAGGGTGCACACCCACAGCACTGGAAGCAGCAGAATCGTGGCTCCAACATGTAATGAAAATTCAGGCAGGTTCCCATGCTGTTATTGAAAACAACTACATTTTTTGCCTTGGTAAAGAGGAGTTTGCAGAACTCTCTCGACACCAGCCTTCTAGTGTATGTGTGTCAGAAAAAGTGAGAGATGGACGAGCAAAACTGGAACTTCAGGGCCCTCCTGATGTTCTGATTGATACTGTGCTTGCAACTGAAGAATTACTGCTTCGTGTGCAAGAGAAGACTATTGCTGAGCAAGAGAAACTGCTCTACTCAATGTGTAAGTAAAGTAAATAGTGCCTGAACACTAATTAAGTAAATAAGTGCCTAAACAAGGTTAAGTATGAAGCAGTGTGTATCTCTGTATTGCTGAGAGTGAGCAGACATACATTCAGTTCACACACACATACTGAGTATTGCTTTAATTACTGATATCCCTGTACTTTCACCATGTGAGCCCATGGAAGACCATTTGCTGGCTGTGGTCACTCACTTACCTGGCAGTATTCCCAGTAGGACACAGTTTATACAGGGGCTGGTCATGATGTATATCCAGCTGTATTGGAGCTCCCTCCAGGATACCTTCACTCTAAAGCCTGGCCACTGGAGATTTACAAAATTTGCACTTAATTAACACACACCTTTGCTGAGCTCTTGCTACAGCTGGACCACTGTTGCAGGGCTCAGCAGTAGACTTGTTCTGCAGAGCTGTCATGAACATTTGATACAACTAATGGCATTACAGAAACTAGTGAGTGATCAATTTTAATTAGTGTGTTGATAGTCATTCAATATAGATACCTTTATATGAAAGCTCAGCTGTGAAGAGGTGTCATGGAGATCATAAATTGCTTTTCTTTAGTTTCTTCTCTCCTGGTTTCTTTATAATAAATGAAGAAAAATAGAATACATTTACATACATTTTTGTATGTATATACTAGTCCCTCTCAATATTAGCCTTTGACAATACTTCAGAGAACACTTAACATTCTTTGTTCCTAATTAAACCACCAGCTAAAGTAGTGGATCTGCCTCCCTTGCCTTTGCTTCAGACATTATGAAATATGAAAATTTTACTCCTTTATTCATATCCAGGCCAAGCAGAAGCAGGCCAGCTTTCAGAGGGAGACTTTCACAAGACAAGTACCGCTGACTGCATCCAGATTTCACCGGTAGAATGCCACCTGCAGGAGTTTAAAGACAGACAGAAAGAGTTTGAAGAAGTTGGACTTCGTGTTCTCACGGTAAAGAAGATATTCATAGAAAAACTGAACCTCAGCTCACATATTTGAACTAACATATTTCATGTAAGCGTAAAAAATTCAGATTAACTATTTCAATGCATTGCTTTCAAAAATTAAGATCAAATCAACCTTATCCTTAAAACAGATCCAGTCTTTAATCTGAATTAATAGTATTTTAAATGTAATGCAAATAATCACTCAAAAATTGATTAAATTCTGAGAACTATTTAATTGTACTGTATGTTCTCCCTCAGACTTCATGCTTCAAATGCCCCTTTATAGAACTCTAGGGAAATATGAGATTGGTAGGGTAAATTAAGTACAATATTCCAGGACACTAATTCAGTGTCTGTTTTCTTTTTGTGAGCTTGACACTAAAAATGTGCCAGAGTTCTGATCTGATTATGTGTTACAGCTGGAATCATACTTGGGTATCACTGCTTTACTGAACAGGAGATGGACTTAATCTCTTCAGCATAACTCAAGTACTGGAAGTCAGTACAGCAGGAATATTGCCAGTGATTTCAATGGGAGGCTTGGGATAGTGGTGTCATTCTTTTCTTTGGATCAGTTGCACGCTTCAGATACTTTGTCCACTGTGTGGTCAGTGCTTATAGGCTAAAGCAAAGGTTCTTGCATTGAAGAACATAGCCTGAATAAAAGCACTTTTGGATTTCATAACTGATCTCCATCTGCTTCTGCTAAACTGTTATTTATGTTACAGATTGAAAAGATACATAATCCACTTCTATCTGCTGCATTCCAACAAATGAGAAAAACAGTAGATGGTAGCTCCAAAACAACTCAAAAGTTGTACCAGAAAGTTCCTGCCGAGTTCTGTTGTTCAGTTTGCCAAACTGGATTTCACAGGATGTATTCTCCACCAGAAGGTAATAACTTGCTTTGGCATCTTTAATCAAAATGAACAGTGACTGAATACTAAACTAGGTTAAAATTAGAAAAAATGGCATTCCTCAACAATAACTATTTTTACTTGTATTTAGATTTGTGTGAGCTTACTTTATTATATACAGTAAGGTTTCCTGATGCTGTAGAGCCAGCAAGGCTCTAGGAAGATAAGCCTGAATTCAAGCCTAGCCCAAGCACTAGACAGAATTATTAGTATACACGTAATTCCATGTCCAAGTTTTATTTTGTTGCATCACTGCAAAGAAAGTCAGTGTCCTTAAGTAGCTGCTGCAGATGTGCATTCAGCAGCTTGGTGCTCCAAAGCATGTTCAAGGGCATCACAGAACACTGAGGCTGGAAGGGGCTTCTGAGGGTCATGCAGCCCAGGCCCCTGCTCAGATCAGGTGTGGTCAGAGACAGCAGATGATTTCATTGCTTGGCCTTCCACTTGGAGTAAAGTACACTTGGAGGAAAGTTGTGAATACATGAAATAGTGTAATAGACAGATGCTTTCAGAAAGGGAAGGAATCAGCATTTAGTGCTTCATCCTGCAGTAAGTGAAGTGTGTGGTATTTTTCATGTCAATTGCATAATGGAATTTCAAGCAATGAACTGTTCAAAAAGTGAAGATTTGCCTTTCTTTGTGTAATGTACATGGCACATTTCCACTTTAAAAGCAGTAAGATGATGGTCTAATTTCTTTGCTCTTTTCCATTTGATACTGTAACAGCACTTCATGTGACATTTTTCATATAAATCTCAAAGCTTTTTTTTTGTAGTTTACATTATCAAGATCTTGCTGACTTTTATTGTTTATCAGAGTCCCTTGTACATGATGACTGAAGTGTGAGTCATATATTTATTTTATATAAATCCTTTAGACCTTGATGATTCCATCACTGGGTTAAGAGCTAAATCTGAACAGTTAGCACTGGAGTGGCAGTTAACTGGAATGGCCATCAGCTGTCATTGCTCACGGTTTCAGTGGGAGGTCAGTGCAAGCATCAGAGCCACTCCATGAAAATCAACTTCCAAAAGGATGGCGCACATTGAGCAGTCACATCACTTGTAACCCACAATCAAGCAGCAGTCTCTTGGAACTACCACCCTGAAAGAACCAACTGCTAAATGCTTTCTCTTCTGAAAATTCTTCTTTCTCTTTCCAGAACAAAAATATGGAGCTGGCATCTACTTTACAAAGAGCCTGAGGTACCTGACCAAGGATAAAGCTACATGGGAAATGGAGTCTAAAATGTATGTGTTTGAGGCTGATGTAGTAACTGGCAAATACACTACAGGCCAGCCATCCTGTATTATACCACCACCACTGGACAGGAATGCCTTTACATTATATGACAGTTTAGTAGATAGTTTGTACAATCCTGAGATCTTTGTCATTTTCAATGGTTTTGCAGCCCTTCCACAGTATTTGCTGACTTGTTCCCCACTGAAAGGTGTGTAGCTCCTGGAGGAAACAAGCAGGATCCTCAGTGGGAATAGAGCAGAACTGTAGCTATGGTGAAGACACTCTGAGAACAAAGTCTAGTGCTTAGATTCAAGAGGATGCTCTGCTTAGTAGTGTGCTATGGTCAGAGTGCTTCCTGAAAAGCTTCCTGAAATATTTTTGAACAAAAGAGTAAGTTAACACCCTAAGGAGATTCGGACAAAATTACCTGTGAATGGAAGCAGAAAGGAAGGCATTCCAAAATACAGTGTAACATTTAGCATTAACATTTAACATACCTGATAATTTACTTTAATCCTTAAAGTGAACTCGGCTTGTGACTATACACTTGATGTTTGTGTAGGCTGTCATTCTTCCACTGCGTTTTCTTAATCTGACACATTGCATATATCAGGGAAACACAAGAAATCTGGGTTGTGCCTTTTGAGTCTTAAGTTTTCTTTTGACTTAAGATAGGAGAATGTAGCAGATGAGAGCTGTTTTCTGCTTAGGGACATGCTGTTATATACAGTTATGACAAAGATGAGGCAATACTTCATGATTTCTTACAATGGTTGCTGTACATTTTTATTAGTTACTTCAAGCACTGTAGATGCACATATTCAAAATAAAAAGTATGAATGTCACTATCTGTTGACTTGTATTTTTCTGTAGTCTTGAGAACATGATTTGTACTGTACATGAGCTTCAGATTTCTCAGCAGCATTCAATCTCTTTGAAAGGTTACAAAATAGTAGAGAACTGGTTCAAGCTACAGCTTGAAGTTATTTTTCAATTAATCTACCTTTACCAACATCTTGTAAAGATTACATTGTCAGCCTTGTAGCCAGGAATCCCCACAGTGCTTCTGCAGTGACCTGAAGCAAATACATGGAAAAGCCCAAGAGCTGTTACAGTAATTCCAGTGTAAAAGGGGATTCAGTCCAGCACTTGGGTACCTGGAAACTTCCTCTAGTAAAGCCTGCTGATGGGGAGCACTCTGATCTCTAAAACACAGATGAAATTAGCATTTAATAAAACTTTTCAAAATAATTTGTTAATGGATTCCCAGGATGCTTGTACTGCACCTGTAACTCCTGAGCTAGCAGTTGTAGTGCTAGGAGCCATTCACAAGTCCAAAAGAAATTAAGTTATAAAAGTTTAATTCTGAATTCTGAGGTTACAAGTGGAAATATTTTTTAACCATTACAAAATAAACTTTAGATTAATATATTCATATTTTGGGTTTTTTTAAAAATTATTTTTAAGATTAGCTATGCTTGCTGTTTCAAAGATAGTTTTGTAGTGTGAGTCTCTAACACAAGAGTTTTGCTCTCAAGCAGTCCCAAGGTTGCTCTTAGAAATTATGCTGCAATTCTGAAAACAAAATTAGTCTATTCCTATTTTAACTATTCCATTAAAGTAATCAACTGTTTTTCCATTTCTGTCCCCTTGTTCCTCTTATTTCTTGATTCACACATTACTGCCACAAAAACACATAGTTGTAGGTTTAAGATTTGTTACCACTGAACAAAGGTAAGTTCTTATGTCAGCATGCTCCAAGAGATATTTTTAAAGGGGTTTCATGGCAGGAATTATTTTTTCTTCTATTTTCTTTTTTGAAAAAACTCAGTAATGAGTTTCTGAGCTACAGCATCAGTTTTCGGAACACAGAAAGGAATGTTATTTTTGGCACAATGTAACATCTTGCTCCTAGTGGGAATAGAGAACAGTTTTCATAACTCAGTATTAATTTAATACTGTAACACAAGTATTGGTAACTATGTATTTCATTATTAACCTTTTTATTAATTGTAATTTCCCTTAACTGTATGTGAATAGGTCTGTAGTCAGTTTAATAAAAAAAAAATAATTGTAGAGAAAGCTTTTAAGATCTTACTCCTGTGCCCAGTACAGGCTTTCTCTTCCTTCCACATACACCTGCAGTTAAGGATTCAGTGTTACTGAATATTTTTCTTTCATTTTATTATAGCATGATTTTTCCTGACATATAATTTCTGTTTCACCAGTGCTCTCCACACATAGTGAATATGCTATATATTCTAGATATATATAGCTTATTTTAAAAGCTGGTAGTGTAAGAGGTTGTACATAATTATTTTCATCTGGTCCTCAAAAAGAATAATTTCGTGTACAGAAACTAGAAAATAAACCCAGCACAAACTAGATGTACCAAGTAGTACATATTAAAATAATTACCACAGTAATTGAAAATTCCTGATCTTAGTGCTACCATAATAGTTAACCAGAGGCTACTCCACAGCCTCTGGGATTTCTCTGTTGTCCACAATAAGGGTATGAATAATTCCTTCCTTTCGTTTCCCACTACTGACAGCCTTAATGCAACAGCTGTGGTCAGCAACAGTGAAGTGAGTTTCAGTCCCATCTTCCACAAATTCACCCTGGGAGAAAGGAGACAGGAATAAAAACAGACACTTGATATTTTAATAAATGAAAAGCTCGAATGCATCAATGTCAAGATCACTTGCAGTTCCCACAGCTGCAGCAGCTTTAGGTACCTGTGACAAGTCCTGCCTGAAAGCTGAACAAAGCTGCTGAATCTCAGGCAAGGCTCTGTCAAGGTGCCCAGTTAAAGATTTGTGGGTATCAGATGACAATGAAAATGTCACACAATCAGAAATGGTAAGGTTGGAGTTTGTGAATCAATACTCCTGTTTCATGTCAGTAAACAACAGGAAAGGCAGCATCCTGCCAAGTTGGTGCCACAGCCAGCAGGTGCCACACAAACCTGTGCTCAAGTGGCAGTGAAAGGTGAAGTGTTTAGGATGTCTTCTACAGCAGAGCCCTGAATCGAGTACAACAGTTGTGTATCTGGGATACACACCTCCTGCTGCAGTTCTGGAATTTCTTGTTAGAGATTTTCCCAGGCATGGCTGTGTTTTTGTCATGATGACAGCAGAACTAATGGGTGCTGCTCTAATGGAAGCACAGTTTGGCACTTAACCTGCACTCAGCTTGCAAGGACACCTCTGAGTGCTTTCAGTACATTGCAGAAAAGGCTGAGCCATCAGGAGCAGACCTGATTTACTGGAAGAGGAGGCTTCTTCCACTGATTACCAAGCAAATATTTGGTGAATCTTTTAATCCTGCTCTCAGGTATAGCAGAACTGTTGATTTTATCATTTGTACTCATCCAGGGGCTTCCTTGTGGCAGCAGTAAAAACTTTGACACCCCTGGTGAGAAAGCACATCCTTCTAGGATGGGGAAGCCTACCTGGTGTGCATATTGAAAATCATCAAAAACCAGAAAGACATCAAACAGATTAAACCACCTAGCTGTCAGCCTGCTCTGAAAATTAATGCAGATGTGATCAAGATAAAAGATTTGACTTGTTCCAATGAGGCTCTTAAGCCCTAAGTATTAGGAACATCTCAAAATGGCAAAAAGCATGAGTCATAAGAGATTATATGTCAACTTTCAGTGACAACTATTACAAGTAGGTTTGGATGCAGTAGCTCTACACTCTGCATCAAACTCAAATCCTTCCCAATCTCCAGAAAGTTTTCTCCCTAAAAATCCTGCACAACTGACTCAAATTTCTTTTGGCTAAAAAGGATAAAGAAAAGCATCATTTATCCTTAAACAAGCAGATGTTTGACATATGAACTGAAATACTGCCCATTATAAAATTCAGTGAAGGTCATTTGGAACAGACCAGGAGCATCCTGGCTGCCTTGGCCTCTCTGGGAGATAATGTGCCCTTCTGGGGCTTTTTCTGCCAAGCTTTGGTTACATAGCCATGGCCTGGGAAGAGCCTTTGGAAAGGATCACGTACCGCTGTTTCCATTTTTTGACCGTTGCACCACACATCCATAGTGTCCTTTTCTGTGAAGGAAAAGAAAAGGTAGAAAGAACAAGGTTGTTGATTGGTTTTGGGTTTTTTTGGGTTTTTTTTTGTTTTGTTTTTGGGGTTTGTTTTTTTTTTTTGTTTGTTCTAGGGGTTTTAAAAATCTGTTGAATTTTACTTCAATTCCCAAAAGTTCCTAAGTAGCTGTAGTACCTGAGCTACAGGGTTTGTTCTCATGTTGGAGGGAGAGGAAGATCTGTCATCAACTTTTGCTTTGAAGATACATTTTTCCCCTCCCTACCCCTGGCTGATAACACTGTGTTGTTCTGAATAGTGCCAGAGATACTCTGACAGTCTTAAAATGAAAAAATTAAAAGACAGAAAAGTAAAGTAATTTTTGCTAATTACTTGAGTGCTGGTTATTCAATAAAGCTCTAACTCTTTTTCCAGGTCAAATTAATTCAAAAGCAGCATTATTTAACATCTATTAAACTGTCTGTATGCTTAATATTTTGAAAGCACCAAGTACCACTTTAAATATCAGTCTTAGGGGTTTTTTAAACTTGAAACAGAATATTCTTTTACTTCTCCCAGCACATCCTCCTTAAATTACTTTGCTGTAGAATTCCTGTCATTGACACAACATCAGCAGAGAGCTGAACCCTGCTTGCCTTTCCAGTAAGCATAGGGAGATTAAAATTCTGTGAAGACTTATCTGTTTCTGGCACTAAAACTGTCTTTCTTCATTGCTCCCCTTCATCTTAGGGCAGTTCATTTTGTCCTGAGGTTTAAGAAGAAATCATAGTCTGAGATCTCTTGTCTCCAGCTCTAACCATACAGCAATGCCTAAGTGGAAGTTTTCCCACTAGATGCCATGGACAAATTCCTCAAGGGATCCCTTCCTCCCACCTGCTTGTAGTGTAACTGGGAAAGGGAGGACAGAAGAGAAGCAATGTATTGCCTTACTGTTATGAAAGTGAAAGAACATCATTGGAAGGTTTTAATTTAAGTTTGTAGATAAGAAGTGATGCAGAAAAAAGGAAGCTCACCAATCTATCAAAAATACAGAATAACATAGTTGCACTTCAGATAAAGACTTCTTGACCACGGCTGATGATTTTTGGAAGGAAAGCCTGGTTACCTGCTGAACAAACTCAGACCCACGAGGTTTGATCACAATGCAGGTAAAATTTCTGTGACAGGCTTCCCCTGGAGAGCTGCCTTGCTAGGGCACTCTATGGATGCAGCAGCAGTAATGCCTCCCAACTTTTTTTCTCCCCCAAATCTAGACCATGCTGCTCTAGACTCACACATGTATAACAAGACCATTACTTTTCAGACTGTCTTTGGCATCTCATTCCAAACTTCCACACCCCCCAAGATTTTATACTGCGTAAGAGCTACCCACTGAACTGTGCTTTCTCTTAATTACCAGTTTTTAAATGCACAAAAGTTTATTCAAAGGCAGCAACATGTACTCACTCAATGTTTACTTACCTAGAACAATTCTATAGTCTGTACCTCCCAAGTTCAATATCCAAGTATTGGTTGTTTTTAACCTGTTCTCTATATACTGCTTGAGACTCTTTCCATTGATCTCCAAAGTATATTCATATGCAAAGCCACTGACTGCATCAATGTTAATAGCAGCTTTAGTTTTAGTAGCTCCAACAGTGAATGTTTCTTTACCCACTAATTTAAACATCCATTCTCTTCTTATTTCTTCCTGTAGAAAACAAACAAACAAACAAACAAAGACAGTGGGTATTAATTGAAAAACCTGAGTGCAAGTTTTAATATTAAAAAATTGAACTGGAACTCAGGAGACAGCTCAGTACTGAACTGCTGTTTGGGAATCAATGCATACACGGTGCTTTGTATGCACAGAGTGCCTCTGCCCAAGGACAGCAAAGCACTTCATGAATACTCACACCTTAATTGGAACTGAAAAAAAAGAATGATGCATTCTATTAAAGTAGGTAATTAACTGCATGTAGCTCACTCGCATTTATTAGTCTTTTGTTTGCTGTGATGTGTGTTGCATGGAAGTGCACTTATATAATCTGTATCACAGTGAATTTTGAGCACATAGCAATTTCACCTTTCCATCAACATAGACAACACGCTTTCCTGAAGTGGTCCCGTGTTCAAATTCAATCTTATGAACACCATCACTTAAAGCTACTTCCCAAACAGCCACCAAATCTGTCATCTTCTCTAAGTGGCTGTACCGAGACCTAAGGAGAAACCAACAAAGTCAATTAATTGTCGTTGAAAGTTCAAGTCTCAGTGTCTGCAGTTCAAAGCTTCACTGCTGCTTTTGCTTTTGTATTTGCACTTTCTGCAAATACAAAATGAGACTTGAAAGAATAAGCTTACAGAACTGCTTATATTTTCATGTTTTTCAGACATTCAAATATGACAAAACATCACAAAATATAAACAGTTAAACAGACTCATTTTGACAAACAGTACAAAGACACAGCTACCCATCTAACCTCTAAAACTCCCATTTCAGGTGAAAATAGGTAACAAAATTATATTTAGTTTTAAGATCCTCCTGGACAGTTCTGCTATTTCTTGGTAGGCAATAAATTATATTATTTGATTGGTCTCAAAGAAGCTTTTTAGACTTGAAAAAATAGTATGGCCAGTTTAGCTATTTGCTGTGTTAACAGATTTGTCTCTAATCTCATAAACACTACCTACATCATTTGGATATGCAACTCTGCACACACAGACACAGGGGAATGGATCTGGCAAGATATCCTTTTATTCAAGGAATTTTTAAAGATTAGATACAGTCATAAGTGACCACTGGAACTGTGGATATCTTTCCAAATCTGTTCATATCACAGTTCTGATTTTTTACCTTACTTCATCGTCACAGACAGTAATCTCCTCACCGGATGCCATAGAAGCCAAAAGAGCTTTTAATCCAATTAGCAGCAAGAAAAAATAGAAAAGCAGAATAGTAGGAGAGAAGCGCTGAAGTCTAAAGTTTCATCATTTTCTCCAGCTAAGATAAAGGACATTTTTAAAAGCATCATTAACTAACATGCAGTGCTGTGGTATATATGATAAAATAAAAACACTTCAAATATAACCATCTTTCTCTAAGACAGAAAGACAAGCGTATTTTAAAAAAACATTGCATCTTACAAAACCAAGTAACAGCTAGTAAAGTTTGTCCTACCTTTACTAGCTCCTCATAACTTTGTCAGTTACTGGATGGAAAAATGGGCTGCCTGATTTGCAAGACAAAGCCTAGAAATTAACGTCTTGACCAAAACAGGAACCCAATCCAGAGCCACCCATCTCAGCCCCAACTCTAATGAATTTGGGACTGGAAGTAGCACAGGCAGTAATTTCACCTCCTCCCTTTCTAAAGCACTGTAGCGGCTTTCAACAAGCACATTAAAAAATTTGACCTGGCAATTCAGTCACAAAACATATGTGAGCCACAAGGAACTAATTTCTTACTTAAGAGGATTTTAGACCACGATGGTGTTTTACAACCACTGGTTTTTAATGTATTATTTTCACTCATTAATTTCATCATGATCTGTCACGTCAGTACCGATCAATAAACAAACACGTGCTAATAAATGCCGAGGAGTTGTTTTGGCTCTCCTGAAGTGTCTGGCTCCTGCGGAGGCGGCATCCCCGGCACACGGGGGGAGGAGGCCGGGAATATTTCCCGGCTCTGCTCCAAGGAGCAGGCTCGGCACAGACCCCGTGTCCCGGGCAGGGATCAGCACAAGGGGCGGCCTGGGGCTCGCAGGGGATGCCGCAAGAGGAGTCCCGGAGAGCCCAGAGCCTTCACCACCGCGGGCAGGCCGCAGTCCTGCGGCGTGGCTTGTAGGCATCATTTAGGATCAATGCTGGAAGGGTTAGGAAGCATCCCAGAACACACAAATTCCTTTTTTAATTTCTTTCCCCTCAAATCATGGCGATGAAGCGATGCACGTTTATTTGACACCAAGCCCGAAGGCAGACTCCAGGCCAGGGGTGTTTGCTGAAGGCCGGCCGATCCCACCGCATCCCGGGGGAAAGGCGTGCGCTGCTGCAGCGGGAGCGGCCCCTGCTCCGAACAGGGACACAGCACCGCTGCTCCACCGCCTCTGACACTGACCAACTCAGCAGCCCCAGGCGCTATTTACCCCTTTACTCGGAAGGGCTCGTTCTGAAAGCTAGGCTGGGATTACGGCTCCCAGACCATCCACCTAATCCCGGCAGCGCTCATCGCGGGGTGGCATACCGAGAAATGCATGCGCTCCGAGGACGGCAGATCTACCCCCACCGTTACCGCCAGCAACGAGCTTTTTTCCATTTTTTACCGTCTTTATTTTTTGTTTTTATTAGCCCCGCGCCCCGCCGCAGCCGCTCCCGCCGTTCCCCCGCTCCTACCTCCGCCCGGTCTCCTCCCCTCGCCTCCCGCGCCGCAAAATGGCGGCGCCCGCGCAGCGCCGCCCCGCGGTCTCCCCGCCCGCCGCTCCGCTCCCGCCCGAGCGGCTCCGCGGCCTGAGGAGCGGCCCTTCTCCTGCCTTGCCGCCCTCGCCATGACCGAGGTACTCTGCTGGCCCCGGGTGTCGCTGCTGGGTGGTTGGAGCGGGACAAAACGCGGTGCAGCAGTCCGTGAACCCGCAGAGCCGCCGCCGCCTCCCTGAGGGCTCCGCTCGCGGCGGGGCCGCTGCGCCCCGCGCGCGCTGGGGGAGCCGAGGGCCGGTGGTCTGGGGATCCTGCAGAGGCGAATTTAACTCATTGCGCCTGTTCTGCTTTCAAGTGGGGATCGGGAAAACTGATCGTGTGTTAAGTGCGCTTTTCCCCAAAGTGCTTTGCAAATCCTATTGGAGCTTCTCACAAGCTCTCCTGTAGTGGCCTCTTGGGTGTTTGGGGTTGGTTTGCTTTAATTTGTGGAGATTTGGTACCTTCTGCTGCACAGCTGATGTGAAGAACTCAGGTTTCTGCCTCTTCTTCCCTTTCTCCCAATGCAGCAGGAGAAGGCAGAGTGGGAAAACCTAAACAGGATATTAATGCGTCATGGGTTGAAACCCGTGAGTCTTGCTGCTCCCCAAAGCTGCAGAGATACATCAGGTAAGGAAATGTAATTTTTGTGTTTGGAAATAGTAACCCTAAGTTCATAAGTTCATCTCCAAAGCTGTCACTTCCTAGTGGCAGCAAACAGGCAATCTTCTTTGGCTATTAAAACACTTTCATTGTGACTTTGCTTATGCTCTGTATCTCCAGATATGATTGTCCTAGACCACCAGTCTTCTCAGGGAATAAGACTTGCATTAAAAACGCTGGTGGAAGACACTGAGCGACAGCAGAAGGTGATGCAGGGACTTATGGAGGCAAATCGATGTCTTAGGTAAGACATTGGAAGGAGTTTACCTGCAGAGTAAAAGTACTATCAGTGTGCATCTCCAGCCTGGTGGAGATCTTATCTCACCAGAGGCCTAAGACCTTTTTCCTGAGGTTATTGTTCAATATGCAGCAATGTTGTCCCGGTTCCTTTCAAGCTCTTCCCTTGTTTCATCTGCTTCTTCTTCTCATATCAGTGTATTTCCCACACGTGCTGCCACAGGATGTTATCCAAGGTCAGCACATAATGTCAGGTGTGTGCTTCCTGCCCTGTCTGTGGTGAAATGAGTTTAAGTTAAAAGCAAGGATTCATTTCTTTTTTCAGAGATGTGGTACGACTGGAACAAGGTCGGGCATCTCGGCAAGAGCAACGGGCTAATGATTTGGAAATTGTGGTGAAAAACATTAAGGCCAAAATTTGTCAGCTGGAAGATGAAACAATAGCTAAAGCATGCCAGCAACAGAACCAAGTCAAGGAGCTTCAAAAAGAGCAGCAGGCTTCACGGGTAATTCAGATAGTGCTGCCTGAGGATTCAAACTTTTGACTCATAAAAGATCTCAAAATATTTATGCTGATCTAAATAAACATGAATCGTGGGTCATAGGGTTAGTACACTGTTTATAGCTAAGTATTTTCAAACTATGCAGAATTTTCTACAAATAATTTAGAAATATGTCTGTGTCCCTCTTCCACTGTCTCTTCAGCATGGCTAAAACCCAAGCACTCATTTTCCTTGGTTCCAGGTTTGGAGCCTGGCCTTGTACAGTCCAGTCAGCTTGTGGTCAGAACAATTCAGTAATGCTCCCATTGCCTGTTCACAGGTGAAATACCAACAGCAGCAGGAAAAGCTGCAAGAACAGGAAGAGATCATTGCCCGCTTGCAGAAGGAGCTGAGCAGAGTTGGGAGGGAGGAGCAGCAGCGAGCTGACACTCAAAACAAAATGTTTTGTCAGTTTTGCAAAAGAGCTCCCAAGTCTGTCCTGGATCAGCGGTAAGTGATTCTCTTCTACTGCTGAATCCCTGCAGCATTAAATGAAGAAACAGATTTTAATGTGATATTTCTATGGGGAAAAAATGGTAATCTGGAGACTTTAGGAGTACAAGACAAAATATGAAGTCTTGTGAAGGTACCTCAGTGCAGTGATATTTTTCTTTTGTGAAACTAAGCCAGATAAATCCATGCCAGAAATTTAAAAATTGTCACCCGCTGCCCACACTAGATGTCAGCAAAGGGAAGGGAATGATTCACTCTGCTCTGTAGCTGCAGTGTCGGCTAGGATGATCTCATCCTGGGATTCTAACATTTAAAAATGTAAGTTAAAAAGGAACAAACTCCCCAGCAAACACCATCCTTAGCCCCCCCAAAAAAAGAGCCTTTCCAATTTTGGGAAGTGATGTTTGCAACTGCTGACTGCAGGCTTTGCTTGCAATCTTCCAAGTACTTTTGGGTAAGTTCCCAAAGTGTCACAAGGCTGTGTCTCTTGCCAGTAGGATTTCCATGGCTCTGCTACATTCAGACATTTGCCAATTCCTAGCCCTCAGGTAGCCATTGCTTTATTGTGCTGATAAAAAATCAGCTTTCTAGGCCTGGCCAGCAATGTTTACCTGGGAAGCTTTTAAGAGGGATTGTGTGTGCTCAGCTTTTTGCTTGAGCCCTCACTATATCAGAGGAATAATCACTGGATTTGGTTCCCTGTCCTCCCTCATCTGTCTCTCCAAACCAGACAATCTCAGAATGCTCAAGACACTTTATTTTGATTGTGCCTCTTTGTCAATCTTGCTGGGCAGCCACAAGCATAAGATGAGGAGGTTGGTGGGCAGACTTAACTTTTTTCTCCTCTTGAATATTTTGCTGTTTCCAAACTAGTACAGATTCAATGTGTCTACTTTTCCATTTTGGCAAAATGTGACCATGGTTGTCTGGTATGAGAGAAACTCCACTGTTTGGAGCAGCCACTTCCAAAATGCAGTGCAGCTGTGTAAGCTGACCTGTTCCTCTGGGTTGGTCATAGTATGAGTTTTGTGAGAATATCTGAAATTCAAAATTAATTTTTCCTTTCTTCAGGTACCTTTGTCTAATTGACTATTATGAATCTCAAATTAGTCAGATTAAAAAGGAGCTGAGGTAGGTCTCATTGAATGCCCTGTGGTTCTACTGTTCAAAATTTTTTTAGCCCTTACTGTTCTTAAATCTTACAGTGGTAAATATTCTGTGCTCCAGGTATCACTATCATGTAAGAAATAGCAAAGGGTTATAATGGTCATGGAAATTTAGATTTTTTTCCCCAGAATAACTGGCAGTCAGGCTAAGTAGCTTCTCAGGACAGTTAGGAGGCTTGGGGTATTCAGATTCTTGAACTATAAGTCTTTCTTTCTTGCTTTCTTTCTTTTCTTTCCCCTTTCTCTTTTGCCATGGTTCACAGGCAGAATTACTGCATTAGCTGTGCTCAGTTGATTGATCTCCCAAAACTAAAGCTTTTCAGCTCCATCCCAGTGCCTGCATGGCACAAAACAACAAACAGATACCTGAGACATTCCTATAGCTTGAGATTACTGTTGACAAAACTGAAATGGGATTTGCTTATACTGGAGTTTCTCCTGTGGATAAGTGCATTTCATCAGCATATGAAACAGCTTTCCCAGAAATTAGAGCAGGAATCTTAGGGCAGAATTTCTATTCTATTTACTTGGTAGTTTATGGAAACATTATTACCATACATAACTGCTAACTAAAGAAACTTAAATTTTTGAGCTAATTGAACTGCAGTAAGCTGAACCAATTTATTTTTCCCAACAGGCAATATAAAAAAGATGAAGACGAGGTGCAGAGAGAAGTAAAAAACAAGGAAGAGTTCTTAAATCTAGATGCTACTCCTAATTACAAAGCACTGCTCATGGTATGGAACTGCCAAGAATAAGTCAGTGCAGATCTCTCAATGGTAACCCTTCAAGAGCCACATAGAAACATCAACATGTTTGTTTTCTGTCCCTTGTTCTTGCCATGTCTTCTGAACTTGTAACCTCTGTGGGCAGAGTTCCCTGTCCTTGTGCAAAGATTCAGCAAAATGTTGTGAGTGTGCTGAGGGCTGCACAGACCTCCTTTAGTCACAGTGCTCCACCTGGGGTCTTGGTGGACCACCAGGCTCTTGGTGCATCATCTGAGTCCTCATCCATGCTGCTTTGCTGTCCAGGCAATTGGGAACCCTTCTTAATGTGCACATACTTTAAATTGTTGAAGCTTGTTCATTATGAAATGAGGGCAGTAAAAGCAATAACCCAGTCTGTGTTGCAGTCTTTCCAGAAGCAACTTACTGAAACAAAAGCCAAGAATGAACAGCTTTTGCTTGAAAATATAAGTCTCAAGAAAAACTTGGAAATAAGGTGAGAAAGGATGTGATCCTTTGTAAGGCCATTTCAGTAGGCTTTGCTTTACAAAGCACCAGCAATTGTAAAAGTGAAGTGTGAAATCTGTGATCAGAGAAATGAGATATGGCAGCAACAGCCACACTCTTCTCCCTACAATGTTAATAACAGCTGCTAATGGTTAGTTTGCTCTTTATTGCTGTTGTCACGTAGAAATGTAGCAGAATTTAATTTGCAGAATGATTTTTTGGCACTGGCAAAGCTTTCTTACTTTTTTGCTTGGATGAATTTTATAGATACCTTCCAATGCAAGACATATAACATGGTACTTTTTCTTTCTAGCAGGCCAACTGCACAGGAATTAAAATTTTACAAGCATCAAGTGAAGAAACTACAGAAAGCTTTAAAGAAAACTGACCAGTAAGTATATTCTTTCAGGGACTTCCATGAATCCTCTGGACTTCTGAAGGCAAGGTTACTCTGCAGCCTGTAATGTAGAGAGTAGCTTATAGAGAATGTGCCTTATCAGCATTATTTGGAGCCTGGTTGTGGGCAGCAGGTGCTGCTGGATCTCTAAAGCCCTCTATTTCTGAAATGACAGCAGGGTCTCCAAATGGGGGCACAGCAGTGTGGGGTTTTTTATTTCATTTTGTCTTTCTGGATTTGATTTGAGTTCTTTTGCTGGCAATATGTACAGGGACATCTCTGGTGTTTGCTGCTTCCATAAGCTGTAAAGGAAGCTGCTATTGGTTTCATTATGGCTTATGAAAGTGTGAGTTGGCAAAATGTTGCAGCTACTGAAGTTATGTCCATATTATTCTTAGAAATTGACTGTTTTTTCTAAAATATTGCTAAGAGAATACGTGGAAGATAGAGAAGTTCTAGTACTAACAAAGTGCTTTTATCTGTAATTTCACTTAGTCATTTGTCTGTGTGTATACTGAATGCTAAATATTTTATAGCCTGAAAAAGACATCACTTAAACTTGAAAATAAATAGACATGTTGTATATATTTAAATTGTCTATTCTCTCGTGCAGTAGGTATCATTTAGATGAAAAGCAGTAGTGAGCTTTGTATAATAAGCAAGGAAGAGGTGTTCCAGCAGAAGTGGGTAACAACTGAGCTTGGAATTTGAACCTTTAGAGTAAAATTCTGGATTTTAGGTCTTCAGCCATAGTAGAACTCTGGCAACAGAAAAACTGGTGGTGTCCCTTCTAAATCAGCAAGCAGTCTGGCATAGCCTCAGCCTGGAGACTTGAGATAAATTAATGATATTTGCATTAGGTGTTGTGTTGTCAATCTGTGTTACTTGGGTCTGATGGAATTCTATTGCCCAGCATCATAACATGGATATTTACTTTGTAGGTTTGAGTTTAAGTGCTACACACTTGGTTCTTCCACCAAGTTAAAAGGTAACATCTCCTGCTAAGGCTGCTTGTGTGACTGACTGTGTGTATTTTTGTGCAGATTTTCAGGGAGTAGGACTGGAGAAAAAAAAGAAGAAAATAAAGACTCTGGGAGAGTTGCAAGAGTGGATCAGCTGCAGGCAGCTTGCCAGCAATACTTGCAGGTACCCAAATTGTGTCTGTTCTGCATGTTTCTAGCAGTGTTACAATGAAATATCATACATGTTCTGTTTAGCTGTGTTGACTGGAGCGTGCTGGTCTGAGGCTAAGAACGCCTTTCAAATCCTCTGTGCAAGAGGAGTCGTGTTCTGGATTTGGCAGTCAGTGTGGGCTGGTTCTTGTTCTGTCTCAGTGCAAACTACCTGAAAACACAGCAAGGCAGCAGACACTAGGCTGGTAAATATGATTTAGCTGAAGTCTGTTCAGGACAGGGGGTTTTGTTCAAAATCTTGGGTGATAGTGGCCTTTATTTTTCTTCTAATTAAAAAGCCTAAATAGAATAAAACTTAGCAAACTGTAAACTGTGGAAAAATGTTAACTATCCCTATATATATAGATATATAGATATATATATGTGTATGTATATATATACTAAATGTTAACTATCCCTATATATATATATATATGTGTGTGTGTATATATACACACTATAGTGATATATATTTACACTAAATATATATATATACACACTATATATGTATATACTATATATACTTGCATTACTTCTACATATCATCTGGCTAGTATATGTTGAATGTTTAAATTTATCAATAGTAATTTTGGAGCTATTTATGACTTAATTTTAGACAATCATGACTGTGATAGAGAGGGATTTTATTACAAAACATCATACATATTTGAGCAATAACATTTGTTATTTGTTCTTGAAGGTTTTGTCCCATATTGATTCTATTTTGCAAAGCCCAAGAGCTCCTCCATTAATATTCAGGCCCAGCAAAGGGCCAATGCAAAATTACACTAAAGAGAATGGACAGGGATGTGGATTTGAGCACCTTCCACTCACTGTAGAAATGTGGGCAGATCAGCTCATAGCCCTCAAGGTAACAACACGTTGTTGTACTCTGTTTCTTGGCCTTCCTTTCATCTGCTCTCCTCTCCTCCATCCCTCCCTATGAGTAGTTGTGGGGGTTTTTGTGTGTAACTTTTGTTATTGCTGACCTAGTGTTAAATTTTACAAATAATCTGTTGTCCATGTGAAGTATGTACCAGAGACACTTCTCTGTGTAAATATTTTATTTCATTTTATTAACTAAATCCCTGAGAAGAAACTTAAGCTTTTGAGTCTGGACTTCCCACATTAATGATGGTGCATTCTCTTCCTTCCTTTTGTCTTTTTGATCCAAATACAAGTGAAATAGTTTTGTTTAAAGCCAAACTCTTTGTTACAAATACTTCCTATTTCACTGAAACTGTAAGAGATAGCCACTATAATATTTTTCACTCTGTTCTTTTCAAATCAAAGAATGTCAGCAAGACACTTCTTAAATTCATGGAAATTTAAACCTTAACCTCTCCAGTGCTGAAATGTTTTCTGCATACGAGAAACAGGAAAACGCCTGTTTCTGTAATAAAAACAACTTTAAGCAGTTTCTAAAATAAGTTTGCTTCCCTCCCTGCTTTTAAAAGGATTTGCATAGGTCCTTGAGAAAACTGTCTCTGGAATTGCTGCCTTGGAACACTAAAGATCCACAGGATCACAGAGAATCCATACGAGTTGAAGACCTCCAGTTGATAGTAGATGCAATTTTGGAAGAACTAGAACATAAGGAAAAGGTAATTCTTACCAGAGATTTATAATCACAAGTTACTGTGGAATTGTTAAATGCATGCTTCACACAGTGATTAGATTGGTGCATTTGAAAGCCTTGCAGCATTTAAGAAATACCTGTTTGAAGACATTCAATAGTCAAAGACTGTTTTAACATAATGGATAAATTCACCTTGGGGAAGATTGCTTTAATCAAAGGCACTTGACCAGCAGTGAATTTGCATTGCCCTGTAGTCTCAGGAATTATCCTGTTCTCTCAGGGCTGAGAATACATAAATGCTTCTGTCAGAGAAGGAAGCTTTTGAAAGAGTATTTTGAGTTTGGTATATGCTTGTTCCCAAAAACTATTGAAACTATGTCTTCAGATTTAAAAATATTTGAAAGGCTGAGATTTCATAGGGGAGGTTGCCTGTTCTTCAGACTGGTTTTAAGAATGTTTCACAGCTTCAAGCACCCTTGCCTTGTTAAGCAGTACCATTGATGAGTTCTTCCTGCTTGCTCCAGAACAGCCAGACACAGTCCTTGCAAACCCTGTCTGCCATAGTCTGTCACTTCCAGAAGTTGTTTGATGTGAATTCTGTGAATGGTGTTTATCCACGGATGAACGAGGTGTACATAAAGCTGGGGGAAATGACCAACGCCATGAGGAACCTGCATGAGCTCCTGGAACTAGGTAAAGACTTACCACCTGCTGCTTGCTCACACCATTCCAAAAGAAAAGGAGACAGTGAAAAGCTGCCCTCTTTATAGGAAATAATGTTGAGCTGTTGAGAAATTCATTAACTAGGTGTTTCCTTCACTGGGAAGACAAAAATACGTTCCTGTCAATTTATAGTTCAAATAGCAAATCCCCATTATTGGTAAGCCTTTAGCAGTTGCTGAGGAATAACTGGGAGGCAGAAGAAGAGAATAACAAAGCACAAAGCTTTTTTTTTTTGATGAGCTGACTTCATAATTGTTGTTCATTCTCCACTTGAAAGACAAGTGTAAGGAAGAAAAGAATTCTGCCTTGGATGTAGATTTCTACTCAGTAATTCATTCAAGTGTAATTGGGTCCAGTCCTCAGCAAGTTCCATCTTATGCTGCTAAACTTAAAAACCAAAACATGTTGTTGAATGTCAAAAACTGTCAGTACTCAGGGGTGTAGTTGGTTATTTCCCTTCTGGTGGGAACTTCTGTAGAACAGCAGCTGCTGCTGGGTTAAAAGGTTGGGCTGGGCTGTAGGATGTCCAGCCCCAGGGCCCCTGGGCTGCTGAGCTGAGCCTCGTTCAAGGAGGGAAGCAGTGTTCCTGCCTGCAGCCAGCATGGGAGATGAAGAAACCTCACCTCCCCCAAATAACTGCAGCTCAGAGGATGCCTTATCCAAGCAGTTCTTCTGAAATTGAAGGAGAAAAGGACAAGGAGGCTGCTACCTTCAGTCACAGCACTACAGATAGATAGGTTAAAATTCAACACCAAAACAGGTTCTGGGTGTTAACAAAAAACATCCTCCTCCAAACGTTTCCATGTTTGTTAAGCAGGTTCCTTATTGGCCTAGCCCCTACAGTGTGTCTGCTGTGTCACAAGAACCTAATGAATAACCCCTTCTCTCTATATATAATTTCAGTTGGCTGATTTCCACTGACATTGTAAAGATGCACTCTAGTACCCTCTCTGCTGTGAACACACAGCTCTGCCAAGGTTTTTTTAGCTACTAAAGGATTAGTGAGAGAATCCCCATTCCTAGCTAACATTTGTTTATTTCTGTTTTCTGTAAATGATGGAATGTATATGCCTAGATCTATGAAAACCAAATAAAATCTGTGCACCTGTAAGAATGCAAGAATTCAACTGTGTCTAAAATACTTCCCTGTTGTTACTGTTAAAAGAATCATGAGGTGTTTGTTTTTCCACAGACAGTTCAGCTCCACCCACTGTGGTAGTGGATACTGTTGGGAAACTGTGTGACATCATTAATAAGAACGTGACTGAGCAGGTACAGCAGCTTCTGGGCACCCAAGACATCCACAGGTATGTGGGGCTGTTCCACTGCTGACCATTCTGCAAACATCAAATGTAGTAACTGAGAACTGGCAGAAACTGATGCTGAAAGAAACTTTCATCATTTGTTACAAAGTCAGTGAGCTGGGACAGCACAGGTGTTAGTTACTGCTGTCCTGCTTGAAACAAATCTTGTATCCTGTCAAAAAGATAAAGCTGACAGAGGGAAAAATTGAGGCCAGAAGGTTCCAAAACACCCTCTGGTTTGCATGGATAATGTGATCAAACAAGCCTAATGGGATACATGTTTCATCAGGAGACAAATCCAGCACCTGGGTGGGGAGGAGAAAGTGATGCAAGTCTCAGATGTAATATTGAAGTGTTCTAGTTGCCAAGGCAGGGTTTGCCTCAAGCTGCCTACAAATACTTTAGAAACTGGACAAATCCAGTTTTGCATCCAACAGGTAACAGCCACATCTAGGTGGTAGCAGATCCTAAGGGCTTGCATTCAGCATGTGCTTTACAGACAAATGAAGAAGGGAGCAGGCAGCAAGTCTGACACATGCTGAGTTAACAATACTCACTCCCTCACCCTTTCTGCACTCATTTCTCAGTTTTAACTGGAGAACAGCTGCTTATAAAGCATTTCTTGCTCTACCTCCAAGGCAGTTATACCAGCCACCCCCAGGCAGTATATTTAGCATACACAGACAAATGTTCCAGACCCCAGACTACCTGGAGCCATGTGAGGGGGAAAGGAAGGATGTGTATACAGCATTAATAGTGAAATCAGAGATCCTTGCGACAGCTCCCTTGTTGGCTGCAGGGTTCAGAACTGGAGAACAGAACAGTGAGGTCCATAGTTTTATATACTAAGTAGCAGTATTTTCACAAAGTCATGGCACAGAATGAAAAACAGCCAAGGAGATGAACTTGCAATGTCCTTGCACCTCTTACCTGATTGTCTCACTTTCCATTCCAGTATCATCACTAAGCTTGAAGAACATGAGTGCTTCTTTCCACCTTTTCAAGCTCTCATTCAAGATTTGTTGTGTCTTCTAGGTGAGTAATATTTGCAACAGTAATTATTTTCATGCCAACACTTCCTCATATAACTCTAAACAGTTAACAAGTGTTTTCTTTACTCCTGCTGTGCTAAAACAGGAGGAGGATGTGAGGGAAGGTGCTGCCTTTTGCCTCACTCTCCTTCTTTCCACCTTTCCTCAGGAAGTGACCAAACCACTTCATTTTCATTTAACATGGGGTTGCATTTACTTAAGCATATTACTTATAAGCCAAATTGATTTTTTTCTGAAAGCATTACTAGGTCTGAGGAGTTTATTTAATTCACCATCTGTTTAAGTTAGAATTTTGTTTGAACTGAAAGGTGTTCTGGGTTCATAAGCCTAACCCTTTTCCTTTCCATTCTGTTGCAGAGATCAGTAACGTGGATGATATTTTACCTGCAGTGCAAAACCTGAAATGGGGAGCTGGTTCTGGGTGACTCTGCTCTTCCTGAGCAAGATTTCTCTTACCTGTGAATGTACCTCTTGGTGCACATGCAGCTACCTCCTAAGCAATAATTCCAGATTTATTTTTTTTTACATAAATAAAAGTTGCTGCATTTTTATTTTTTTTTATTTTAATTCTCCGTCAGTTTAAGAAAAACTTTATCTACTGTCAACTGGTCTACTCAATCCCAGAGAGAGGCCCAATATACTCCGTATCAGTGCAGGAAACTGAACCTAGCACAACACCAGACAAATTCTAGCCATTTTTAATATTGCTGACACAGTAAGTGTGAAGTCAAGATGCCCTTACTGCCATAGCCATCACACGTACACAAATGCTCAATCTTGGTTTTCTGGAGAGCCTCTTTTCAAATGTTGTTCGCATTTCCAGATCAGTTTGAGATGGGAAACATTGTTACTCAGTGAGTATTCTCTCTGATTATGGACTGAGGCAGACTGGATTAATGTCATCTAGGCCAAAAATACTTGAAATTTGCTTCATGTGATGGTTTGAAGTTACCATTGTTGTATTTCAAAAGTCAGTTTTAGAAAGGATTAGATCAAGTCTCTTACGCAAGACAATTAGAAGTTTATTGTACAGAAACAAGTACACCAAGCTTCCAAAAATATTTTGCCTCAGTATTATTAAAGCTTAGTTTACAAAAGTTTGCTGTTCCTCAGACAGAATCTGGGTTTACAAGATTTTGAAATGCACTGTAACAAAGGACAAAACCAGTTAAGGCGTCACAAACTAAAACCTTAATGACATCTTGGTAAGGTCATCTCCCTGCTTTTGGAAGCTCATTATTTACATACCTGCAGCCACAGTCAGCTAAGGTACTTCTGAACAGTGGACTACCAACTTCTAGTTTCTCAAAAAAAAAAAAAAGCTGTTAAAGAGTTTCTCTTTTAAAAGATTCTGTAGCCCTATGGCTGAAGAATACTGTTTCAAAATGTATTCTTTTCAAAGTACGCCACTGCCATGTTAAAACAACATGAACACGTTCCTTGGGCCATCAGACTGCCAAGCAAAGTAATGACACTTGGCTGACAGTCTAAAATCTCCCCAGGCACAACCCTTCTTTAAGAGAGGTTTCACACTTAGAGGTCCTTTGAGGGGGGGGTTTGCCAGAAATAGCAAAAATAAAGGACTTATTCTTTAAGGACAAATTATTCCCTGTGTGGGGGAAAATATGTTTAACTTCAGTGAGAACTAATCCCTGAATAGGATCATTAAATTTGCATGTCCTGAGCTGGAGCCTGCTTCAAATTAGCAATGACAGTGCAAAACATGTTAATTACAAGAGCTATGTACATCCATATGAAGTAGAAAAATTAGTAACTTATGTACATGAGAAGAAATCAGATTTTCTTGCGTCTGCTCCTTGTCAGCTCATACCTGCAATACAGACACAATAAATAATTACCATAGTTGTACAGTAATTCTTAACATTTTTAACTGGCACAGTAGAGAAAACCTGGGCTGCTTTCTTGCTTCTGCTTCACAGGCAGCACAGCAAAGGAGGCTCCAGAGATGGCCTCAAACTTCACCTGTTCACCAGAAACTTTGGGTGCATCCTTTTTTCCTCTTTCCGTAATTGCCCTGAGACACATACACAAGCTGGCCAAGGAAATGTGGCTTTCCTATTGGAATATTGGCTCACTGCCTGTGCAGATGGCAAGCTCCTGGACTACCCACACTGCATTCCTCAGAATCCACTGAAGGAGAAAGAAGGAAGAACTCCTGCCATTTACTAAAGACACAGAAGTGAAAAAAACACCCAAGCCTGGTTGTTCTGCTCAGACCAGGAACGTACAAACCTCAGAACCACAATGAATGTATAAGCAAAACTATAAGTGGCTTATTATAATAGTTTCTATAAATGCTTTGTAATTAAAGTTTTATCATACATATATATTGCTGATCAGAGTATTTAGTTAAGATCTTTATTCAAGTTAAAATTTGTTGCAAGGTTACTTTAATAAACAAAATTCTTTTACTTATGTGCCCCTGTGGCTTTTATGGCAATTTTAAATATGCTGAGGACTATAATTGACACAGGCATCTCATTAAAGCTGTCTCACAGGGCAGGCACTGCACAGCCAGTGGATTAACACACAATTTAGATAGAACTACCAGATTAGCTCAAATTAGTCCTGCATTTGCAGGTCAAATATTCTTCTCACTCACCCAAACACAGCCCAGTTACCAGCACTCACTCCCACAGCAGTCATGCAAGCTCCCAGCAAAGCAGTGGGCAGGGTTTGGAAGCATGGAGATGAGAACTTACCATTGGGCAAAACCTTTTATTAAATCCTCCCGGGACAAGTCAATGCGCACCTTTAAAAAGCAAATTTGATTTGTTTGTAGGTTATTCAGCATATAAATTGATTAGCTAAGCTACCACTCCTCCCACGTCAGACCCACTTTCCAGCTGTGGGGCTGCAGCTCAGGCTTGAGGAAAAATGAAGCTTCCCACATTCCCAAGATAGTGTAGGCATGAACCAGCTCTGTTTCCTATAGCACTACTTGGAAATTTATCTGTCACTGAAGAAGCAATAGCAGTTTACTTTTCACAGAATCAAAGCTGTTCACAGAAAGTCAAAGCACCCATCTGAAATGAGACCACACAGCTCCCACATGGATACAGCCTCATTTGAAATTAAAATCTGGCACAAAAAGATTGTTTCCAGATTACCAGTCCTATTGTTGAGAATCAGTTACTGGAGCCACTGGATTTCAGGAATAGCCCAGAGTGTTCAGCTCTGTTATATTTGTAGTGGAGATTCTTTCAACTTACTTTCCCCAGCTCCTTCCTCTCCTGTGAAATGAATGGCCTGCTGTTTTTCACTGCAATGTCCAGTGTCCTTTTCTTGACATTTTCCAAAGACTCGAAAAATTCAAACCTTGAAATAAAGTTTAAAAAGAAGAGACTTAAGGCAAAAATTAAAATCCTGTGAGCACCATTGGGCAGAATATAGTGACAGAGTACAGCATCAATGGCCAGGACTTTAACAGAGAAGGAACACACAGAAAAGGCAGTTCTAGAGTGAGGTTTTATCCACATTGCAGAAAACCTCTTCCAGACCTCATGAAAGATGACAACACTGTGTTCATACTGTCCACCATGCCAGGGGGAAGGAGGAAAACTTGCATCCATGATGAAATGCCATTTAACATAATTTTCACCCCTCCATGGAAGATGAGCATGTTTTCCATGCAATGTTCATTACTCAAGAGGAAATAGTCATGAGCCAACCCCCCAAGTTCACAGAGCAGCCTTGCACCACACCAAGAACAGACAAAGGCTGAAACCTGTGGCAATTAAATTCTTAATGGCTCTGACTCAAGCCTCTGGCACACATGGCTAATGTCAAGTGAGTTTTGTCCGTGCTAAATCACTCCTGTTCTGCCCACCTGAATAGCTTTTCCTCAAGTCAGAGCTGTGAAACAGGTAACGTGTTTTGGAGCTAAGCATTATCTTTAATTGAGGATGTACAGGATACGTCACAGTACTGAGGATGGGGAAAAGGAGATGCTCTTCCAGCTGCTGGGATGGCACTAAATCAGTGCAGTTACTTAAGAAGAGGCATAAGCAGAATCCTCAGCTTTGGTGTTTTGAGTGTTAAGGAGGAATATTTAAAAATATTTTCTCCATTTCTGACTTACACAGAAAGGACATAACACAGGAAAAATATAAGCCACCCAGGATCACCCAATTCACATATTTAATCTATACCTTCCTCTAATTATGGAATTAAAACCACCTCTCAGAAGAGCTCTACTTCTAAGGATTACTGTGTTTGGGTTTATGCAAAATACATTCCATTCCAGTGGCAGAGCTGTGACACAGTCAGCAAAGAGGTGGCAGCATTTTACCCTGCTCCCACCAGGCCTTGATGACAACATCCCCCTGTGTGCCCAAAGGGTGCTTCAGCCTCAAAAGGCTCTGTTTTTCTGCCTTGGACCAGGAAAGATGTCAGAATAAGCATCAGGCAAAGCAGTGTGGACAGAGCAGTAGGCTCTGGGAGGTACCTGAATGGGCAGATTGCCTCTGCCATGATAGGGAGTTAAACACAGCAGGAGAATGTCAGTTTGCAAAGAAGCAAATGCAGCCTGGGGGCAGGGAAGAGGCAGGGAAGAAGGTGTACCCTTCTTCTGGGGGACTTGCAACACCACAGGCAGAGATCATAACTATTCCAACCATAATAACAGTAATTTACATTTTCTTACTTCTCATCATATTGGGGGTTCAGAGTTTTTTTCTTAACAGAAGTCTTCTTCCTGCTTGTCCATCTTCTGTCTGGAAGCAGGTATATACGAACATATGGATCGACTCCACGATTGGAAGAGGGTACCAAGTTTCTGTTAAAAGAAAAACACACAAGCAAGGCAGGTTCTCTCACTGTGTGTTTTAATACCTTGGCTCTCTTGGCATCAGACCAACCCTTCACATGCCAAAAACATTCATTCCAGGAGTTGGAACATAAGCAAATAAAACTTTAAGATTGTTTAGTTAAAATCTTTACCCCTGAGGGTGTGGCCACTTATTGAGGTTCCTAAATTAACAACTACATATTCAGTCATAGGTATCAATCCTTGTCACGATGCCTATCTCAACACCCCAAGACACACACCAGTTGTCAGTACTGTCCAGAGGAAATTTTGGGTGGATGACAATGGAAGCATCTCTACTGCAGAGAGCACAACTCACTGGGTTCTCTCCCCGACCTGCTGCTGGCACTGACCAGAGCTGGGCACAGAGAGGCTGCACAGCTGGAAGCCAGCCAGTGCTAAGGCATCTCCTGCTGCACGTGGCTCTGCTCCAGCTTTGCTGGATGACTGACAGAGCTCAGAGAGCTCTTCCCTCTGTGAACCATCACAAGAGTTACCTGCAGCCGTTGACCAGCACGACGAGGCTCTGCCGGATGGAAGCGTAGCGCACGGTCAGCTGGATCTCCCCCAGAGGCATCTCAGTCCCACTGCAAGACATTGCACAGTCAAGGCTTTTAATTCGACCACTGAGCAGCCCACAGCAGACTAAAACCAGCTTTCAGGGCACCATCCTTCTCCCTGGCATCCTAAGGTCCAGCTGGACCACAGAGGTGCCACAGAAGCCCTGTCCCTGCCTGCTCTTCAGGTACCCGATTTCAGTCCCACAACACAAACTGCCAAAAAAGCCCCTGTGTGACCCACTGTAGATGGAGCAGCAAAGCACAGGTTAGCGTGTCACATATTCCTTCAGGAATGTCTGTATAGGCAAAATGAGACCTTTTTCATATTCCATTCTGCATGTTATTAAAATGGCTCAAAATCCAAAAAATTGCTTAAAAATGGTTTAAAAGCAGTTTATAAATTAAGCCCTGCTCAGAACTAGAAAATTCACCAGTCACCAATTCACCAAACTGCAGCTGGAGTTGAGTTTTACGTTCAGGTTTATAACTACTCTGATGGTCTCTTAAGTGAGGTGGATCTTTGTAACTTCTGTTGATTAAGGATTCCACAAGCTCCATTTTGTGCTCCATGAGGGACAAATCCTTCTCTCCATCCTGCCTGACAGAGCAGCCTCACACTGAGCACTGTGGGAAGGACACACACAAACACACCTATCCAAAAAACTTTGTTCACAGCACTATCAGTCTTAAAATGTCTTGGGTAAAAATATTCAGAGCTTTAAGCAACCAGAGGTGTCAATCAAGAGTTTAGGTTATTACGGAAGTGGGATATTCAGACTTCGAAATCCTGTTGCTAAATGAGTGTTGAGAAGCTCTTCAACAATATAAAACCAACACTTGCAGCACTCTTAGGAGAGCCATAGAGTGAATACTTTCCCTTTATATCTGCTCTGACAGTGCCCTGTAATTTACTTGGCTGTTGACTGGAATACCTAGGTCAATTCTTTGTAAGATGACTTGAGACCCAACACCCAAAATTATTCAGCATCCTTAAATTTACCTCTATGCAACAGTAACACCTAAACATTCCCAAGTGAAGAACAATTCAGCTGGAAGAACACCTACTTATGAATGTCCAGATTGCTGCTACTTAATTCAAAGCAGGAAGAAGGCAGGGACCCCAGTGAAGTGACACTGGGTGCCACCCTCATTTCCTGCAGGACAGGCAGTGTGGGCACGGCCACTGCCCCGCTGGGCAATGCTGATGGTAGGCCAGGCTCTGGATTTTGCTTGCCCTCTGCTTCATCAAGGTCAGACACAATTTCACATGGTACAGGGGCTCCTGAACTGTCTTTAGCATCCAGGTCTTCTCCACTGTCCTTTTTTGGCAGAGATTCAAGTGCTGCAGAGTCTTTGCTCATGGGAGGTACTTTTGAAACTTGTGGAGAGGAAAACTTCTGCTGGTTTCCAGCCTTCTCCGTGACATGCACGGGACCTAGCTTCGAGGCACTGACACCAGCCTTGACTCTTTGTGGATCAGGTTCTTCAACATCCAGTGCCTAAAAATCACAAGGGAAGACAGTGAGTGCTGCTCCCACAGCACTGGGGTGAATGCCAGCATTACCACCCAGAAGGAAATTTCACCACAAAACTGAATGGCAGGACTCTGCCATTAGAGATGAAAGGGGCCCCCGGGATTCACTGTGGTTTTCTCTCCTCTCATCCTACTGTGTTTGTACTGAGCAGTGTATAAACACTGATCCAGAGCATGGTGAGGAAACAACTCCTAAGCATCAGTGCTGACTTCCCCAGCTTACATTTTCTCAGTCCAGCTCTTTATTTTAATGGGAAAATTTTCAACCATGGCACTGCACTAAGTTTTACAAAGCCTCAGGGATACCTCTCAACTCCACCATACACTCCTAATTTCACTTAAATACCCTGCCACACTTCTACTTTCTACTCAACTGTGAAGCAAAGCTGCCTTTCTTCATGCCCACCTTTCATCTCTTTTGCCTGGTTACAAATGGATGCTTCTGCAGGGGAAACTGAGTGAATATGGGAAAGAACAACTCACCCGCAGTACAAGCTTCATCTTAATGAAGCTGTCTGAACTGGAATGGTCCAGCTGGAATCTCTGATCCAGAGTCATGTTTGGGTCCTTAAGTAAGTGGGAGAGACACACCACTGAAGTTCCCAGGGCACTATCCCGCTCCTTGTCTTTTATCTGGGGGATGGAAGAAAACAAAAGTTTTTATTAGCTGGCAAACTGGGAAATGCACCACTGGGAATGCAAAAGCAAAGCAAGAAGGTATTTCAGACAGAAAACAAAATTAGCTTATTTGCTTCAGTATGGTAACATCCATATGGGTGATGCCATTATTTCAGGAGTGTAACAAGTTAGTGCATTTGGAGTAAAAATTCCATCTTTAACTATGCACAGAAAGAACTGCTTTAGCAGAAAAATCATGCCCTGAGATTTACTTGATTTTCCTTGCTCACTTTGGGGACAATGTCCTAAGCAGCTGAGATGGTTCTAAATCTTTACATGTATTTTAGGTAATAGTTTGTTTAGCCTATTTAACCACAATACACCTTCCAAGTTCAATTCCTTTCTGTATCCAAGTGACCAGCCACAGAACTGGCTGGGGCTGCAATGCTGCTATTCCAAGACAGGGTTGCTTAACAAGCCAGAACACAGAGGTGAAGACGTAGGGCTCTGGTTGAGAATCATGAAGGCTGCAATTTCTGACAGCAAAATACTGATGTCTTTACTACACACAGACCTGTATGGAATGTCCTTTCCACTTTGCAGCCAGAAATATTCCACATTTTGAACTAAGATATTGCACATTACATGACGCTAGAACAAAGGTAGATACCAAAAAAGGGAGATGCCACTGCCACCTAATACAGAACTGTCTGTGCAACATACGCTTCTTCCATCTTTCAGTAGGAGGAACCCAGTATGTGACAATCCCACACAGAAACAACCAGCACTGAGCTCCACAGAAGAGGTTTCTTCCTACAGATGTGCAGTTGGTCTTCAAAGGAAAGGCTTTTCTCTCACCTCAATGTGGAGTGACTGGGAATGAGCACTGTGGACAAAGAAGGTGAAAGCCTGGCCCCACTTGGGATCTTTGCTGAAATTGCAGGTCTGCAACAAGAACATGCATTAGCTTAGTCTATGAGAAGCAAAGAATCCAGGACATTGAGACAGGGCCATGGTGACGGTGACCCTCAGTGATGCTACACCCCAGCTGTACAGAGGGAGTGGAAACTCCAGGTCAGAAGCATATGGAAGTGAAGTCTTTGGCACAAGTTCTTTGGGGCGTGGAAATGCCAAAGAACAAGTCTGGTGAGCTGCAGTTGGCCTCACCAGCGCTGCCTGGACCAGCAGCCTGCCTCACCTGCAGCGAGGCACCGCTCCCTCCCTCCCACCTTCCCACCCAGGGAGAGCCAGAGCACTGCTTCCAGCCTGCAGCACTCTGAGCCAGCTCCCAAAGCTCCACTGAGCTGGCAGGCAAGGGCAGGAAAGCTGGAGAGGCAGTTTCAGGGGTGTAGAACTTGTGGGAAGAGTAGGAGGGCACAGCCTCAGCACCATTCACTTCAAAGTGGAAAGAGCATGGAAAGCACCCATGGGGACTGTGGCTGCTCTGTAAACCAGCTGTCCCTGCCAGGCCAGGAGTGCTGCCAGCAAGTGGAAAGGAGCAGGGAAAGCCTGGAAGCCTGACCTAGCTTAGGAGAGGCAGGTGAAGTGGTAGGGAAAGGGAAAGCCACAAAAGGTAAAAATGCAAGTAGAACCCAATTTCTAGGTGGAGCAGGTGGAGGGAACAAAGGAAAATAGGTGCCAGTCTTGTATGCCTGTGTGTAGCCAACGGGATTCATTCTTATTTGCTGGGAGTCCAAAAGACCAAAGGGCTCATTCACATCCAGCTGCAGGATGGTGAACATGGCAGCTACTGGGAGGCAGAGCTCAGCTGTTGCTCATACTCATGAGGCAAAAGCAATTTTTAAATAATGAAAAAGGAACTGGAAGTGAAGTGGAGGGGATTGGAGACTTATAGAAATAGTGTCTGGGCCAACATGAACTCTTGGATACAGGCATGGAAGTACACACGTGTACAGCAGCTGAACAGACAGAACTGGAAGTGAAGTGGAGGAGATGCAGACACATCTTGTCCAGGTTTAACAACAAAACAAAAAACAGCAAAGACTCTGAGGAAGGAATAAAAGCCAGCTTGATGCAAATGACACCCTGCTCTGAGAAACCATGAGCTGGATTGGAGACTTACAGAAATAGAGTGTTTGGGCCAACATGAACTCTTGGACACAGGCATGGAACTACACACGTGTACAGCAGCTGAACAGACACCCTCCACCACCACAACTCGGTGACACAGTGGTTCCACTCCCAGGCTCTGCAGCTATCACTACAAGTACAGCTCTTCACATCAGCTTCACAAGAACTCCTTTCCTTCCTAGGGGATACCTGGGGACGGTCACCCATAAGATGTAAAACATCTAATGAAAGCAGAAGAATTAAACAGCCTCACCTTACTCTTCTGAGTCTTGTTCCCAACTGTGAGCAGGACAAAGGAGGAAGGTTCTCGTTCCATCTTCTGTAATTTAATACAAGGAAGAAAGAAGAAGGCAGAAAAAACATTAAGAAATTTATAGTTTTCAGGAAGCAATATCAAACCACTACTCTTACTTGAAATAAGTTGCTGGAAAACTGACAGTATTTTCTCCTCTGAGGAGTGTAACACACAGGAAAGCCTCCAGCAATAACACAGTAGTGTTACTCTCCACCATCAGGAGTACACACTTAAGCCAAAGCTTTATGTATATAGGTTTCAACAGGTGAGCAGTTAAAAATTTGTCAGAAGCTGGGAGGAAACAGAGAGGAGAGCTGAAGGCTCAGTGGGAAATCTTGATCTTTCCTGACTGAACCAGGACTTTCAGAATTGGTTTCCAAGGTTCAGGACTTGCTCCAAAGCAGCTGGAAGTGAGTCCTTGGCATCAAATAACAATTCCTGTCCGGAAGGAACAATACTGAACCTCTTGCACCTCTTTGCACTAATGCTGTAGAAGCTAAGGCTGAGAATCTGGTCTTGGCACAACACTACATACAAAGTGCACATAGTGAGGTCCAGAATTAAGGATTATTGACTGTGATGTGTATCACAGTGCTGATAACTCATCTAAATTGTAAAGATGCTATTCTAGGAGAGGAGCTACTTGGAGAGAATGGGAAGCTTTCTCCATATCTCAGAGCTGTACTTGTGAGTAGCCTGTTCAAGAAAGAAGGGAGAAAGACATTCTTCCCTATACCTGCCATTTACATCACAGTAGCAAAATGCAGTATTTGGGGGAAAAAGTAAACAGAAGCTATGAGAGAGAAGGTATGAATGAGAGCCAAGGGGGGAGGAATGTGGTGGTCAGGTGTCCAGTGGACAGGAAAATTACCACAAATGAGCATATTCCTCCCCGCTCAATGTCAAGCTGGAACAGCTCAGCAAGGGAAGAAAGAGCAGCAGCAGCAAGGATATTATGACTTAGTCTGATGTCTGGAGGCACTCTTTTGTGTAAGAAAGAAAGACAACCACACACACAAATAAACATTTCCATGTTGCATTCCCACTTTGGCCTCCTAGACTTTCACTGGGGTGGGCTTTCAATCACAATTTTGAACCCCTGCTCACTTAGATTTTGACAGTGGAGAGATTATTTCTTTTTAACTACTGCCAGTTTCAGTTCCTATAATCCAGAACCTTGTTTAGCAAGTGTGGGAGAAGAATATAAATTTTACCTTGAGGTACTTGTTATTTTTTATCTTCTTTGTTCCACATTCACCATTCGAATACTCAAAGTGGTTTTTCTGAATTGGTGAAAGAGTATTTTAAACAGTTAATTTGTTGTTTTTTAAACAAAGGAGGTTAGGAGTGAAGGCAGCTGCATGGGGCTTGTACTTACGGGGAGGTTGAAGGCACTGTCCAAGTACACAATCAGAATTGCTGTAGACAGACCCTTCTTATCCTGTAAAGGCAGGGAAAGATAAAACAAATCAAAACACAAAGTAGTTATGGTCACCCACCATGGACAATGCAAAACAGCAAAATTCCAAGGGCAGCTTCTGAAGGCTGAGCAGCTCTTTGCCTTTCTCCTAAAACTTGCAATTTAGAGAAGCCCAAGTCAACACAGCATGACAGTTCAAAGCAGACCAGTAAGAAGATGTGTAACTCTTTTCAATTCCCTGCCTTTAATGTTTGTCAGCCTCTCAGTGCAGAACTGGTTGGGTTCCCCACTGCAGCAAGACACCTAAAAACGTGTCCAACCACATACATCAACATGAATCCAGTGTCAGCAGAATGAAGCCTGGGAACAATTTTATTCACTTCAGTGGAATTCAAATGGTTTTGCTTGGTTATGAAGAAATAGCCTCTTTGGGAGACTTTATCCAAGCAATTCTGCTGGACAAACTACACACCATTTCGAAACACAGCCCTACCAAGCACCAGTGCTGGGTATTTGCCTATGACTAGTACAGATTATTTCAGGGGTCCAGGATCCTACACAAATCCTAGATGAAGAGGGAGGAAAAAAAATTGTGAAAGAAAAGAACCCCTGAGAAGGCACTTTGCAGTGAGTCAAACAAAGGTTTGCTAATTCAATCAAAAAGAGCTGCCAGATTTGAGTTATTCCTGAATTACCAAGGGACCTGGGGCAAGCAAATGCCCTTCCTGCAGGAGCAGCAGGGAGGGAATCACATCAAAACTTTGCCAGACAAAAATAAACTCCTGCGAGTCTGCCTGTAATTTTACACACTCCTTTGTTGATGACAGAGTCTGCCTAGGGTTTCTAATTTTACACACTCCTTTGTTGATGACTGGACAGGGATCAGAGCACCTGAATTCTTTAAGCAAATACACTCACCTCATGCAGCTTTTCTTGGTCGTTTACTAGTGAAAGCCACTCCAGTTTTAAATGCAAGTGTCCGCTTGTCGTCTTACTTAAGGGGAACCACTACATGGAGATAACAAAGAGCAGCTTGAGAACTGACAGGCAGAGTAGCTTTCATATATGTGGTGCACACTCTGAGGCTTACACACAATAGACAACATGAATTTAACTCCAAGCACCTTAGCTTGCATTTTTGACACTTAAACTGTAGCACGTCCACCTACTTAGGTACAAGGCAGAAGAAAATTAAAATAAGATGCCCATGAACAGGCAAAGCATGTGGATATTTCCAACCAGCAGCAGCACAAGACAGGCACCCTGGCATTGTTTGTAGAGTGCTGGGTTGCAGGGTAAACCACAGTAAGGTCAGACAATTTCTTACCTCAGCAAACAGCCTGCTTCACCAAACTTAATCTGCAGCTTGGTACAAAACATTTGGTACACACGGGACACAAAGTATCAACAAGATACCCCACTGCCGGCTCAGCATAACCTCAGGGCTCTCTGGGGTTACCAGCCTGTTGTAAAAATTGTTGTAGTGGCTACTTTGGTATTGTCTTTCTGTGAAAACACCACAGTGCAAGTGTGCAAGGAAGCTTTAAGTACAAGAAACACTGAAGTAGCAGGTGAGAAGCACAAATGAGTGCATGTAGGCATGCACCACCAGCCACATTTAGAAATACGCTGAGATCTTTACCTCATCAACAGTTCTGTCATTCATTACATCCACTAGGCTTATCAGCAAGCTGAAAGGGAAAAGCAAACATTTCAATATTGAGGTATACAGCACAAACCACCAAAAAAGCCCACTCTCAAGTCCCACTCTCAAGAAGTTTCCAAATAAAAACTTCTCCACATTACCTGCATATGTGTGTGCAGGAACACACCTGCACTCCTGAATTCTCCCCCTTGAAATATTTCCAAAACTAAAATAAATTTGAAGTAAATCTCAACTAACTATGACTTCTAATGTCTTCCCAGGATTACCACCCTGCAGGATGTAACCTTGTCCAACATTAGTTGCACTAGGAACTAACTAGGTGGTATTAATATCTGGGCAAAGGGAATCACTTTCAACAGTATTAAACTCCCAGTATGAATAATTCAGATGTCCCACAGCAGAGGCTACTGGACCCTGATCAAAGGTCTTGTTAATTTACCTGCCCATAAAGTCATCTTTATCTGGATCTTCATCGTACAAATCCACTTCTAAGTCCTGACCAGGCACTTCATGAACAACAAACTGGAGGAGAAAGAGGTATTGATTAAAAATAAAAAGCATTCACATACACATATTCAGGCTCAGGCTGTGGACAAGAACAAGACACTTGACAGGTGTCTAACACATGAGGGACATTCCCTGTTCTTTCTTATGGTTAAATGCATAATAAATACAATTGATTATAGGTGAAAATGTTTCACATTCTTTGCTTGTTTTTGAGCTACAAGTTAAACCCCTCAAACTGGAATCCCTAATAAGCAGAGAGGAATCAATGCTAGAGCACCCTGCAGCTGCACAGACTGATGCATTGATTGGTATTTAAAGCAGTGCTTTGCACCTCCTCCAAAAACCCACACATGTAAATCAGATCAACCTGAATGACATTTCAAGTTTACAATGTAAATTTGAACTTGGCTGAGGGACACAAATGCCTCAGCCAAGAAACAGGGAAGTCCACCTGCCTCAGTGCAGTCAGCTAAGAGAAGGTCCTGCAAGCACAGGGATGTAAATGGAATGGCTGTGTATCCTACAGATGGAAAGATCAAAAGGTTCAGTACCTCAAATGTCTCATTCCAAATGGGATTAAGATCTCTGGAGACTGTCTTGCTTCGATACTGCACGGTGCCCACGCGGAGGAGAGCGTATGGATCAGACTTCCCCCTGATGGCACCAAGGAAATTGTCTTTCTGGACAAGGTTTTCAGCTTCTAACAGATGAACCCTTATTACTCCCTGAATAAAATAAGATAAAGAATTGGTCATGAAAATGCAATCTTTGGATAATTATAATATGCTGCCTCCTAAAACTGTTTATTTCAGGCAGCAAGGGTAGTCACCATGACAGTTTTGCAAAGACACATATTTTGATGCAGTACATTTCCAATGACAGCTGTAATAAAGCACTTCTTCCACCATTTGCTTAGAGGGGGGGAAAAAAGCCCCCTTAAAGAGATGTGAAATTCAATCTAGATAACTGTATAGGAAATATTATTTATTTTTAAATCAGAAATATACATATGGACACAGCATTACAGCCACAGTCAAATAAAGTGTAAAGATCAACTCCCACTGACTGAAGGAGGAACTAAGCACTCACTGGCAGGTTCTTATTTTATTGCACAGGAGCCATTCCCTTTCAATTTAGTGATTCAAGTTTGCAACAGGGAGCATGCTTTTGCCACTCATTTATATTTATCTTCATTAGTAAGTGTAGATACAGAAGACCTGGATATGTTGAGTATTTAGGAATTTTTTTTTTCTGTAGCAAAGGTATGTCATCCTCCAAGTTCCCTATTTACACCTCTTCACAGCATTAGTAAAAATATTAAATAGCATGACATTTGCTGCTTATGTATTCATCCTCTCATTTGCATGTACCACAAATCTGCAGTTACAGACTAAAGGTTGAATTGGAAAATGAGCTCAGAGTACAGACTCCTTATGAATTGCAGAGAGGGTAGGAACTCCCAGTGCCCATGTCTCTCCCTCCCAAATGATGAACTATCCAACATTGTTTTTATATTTCAGAAATACTACCTACTGAAAGCCCACAGTTTAGGTTGAAAGAGCTGATGCAGCATCCAAAGACACTAAGCTTGGATGCATTCACATAGTGGCAGCTGCACACTCAGGTAGATAAACAATATGTCACTGAAAAAACAACTCACCTGGGGGATAGGGAACCTCAAGTGGGCAATGTTCATGTTCTTTTTCAGGGGCACTGTGATTCTGTTGGGTAGCACCAGCCGTGCAGCAATGAAGTCTTGAATTAGTGAGTCTGACATCACACTGCAGGTGGGGGAAAAAGGCAACCTCAATCTCCTCAATCAGTCACAACTCAGAACAGGCAAGCAAGCAGAGGAAATGGGCTTTGCAAAGTGAGCGGTGTGGCCTAGCTCCCCCCACAGTTTTGTCAAGAATTAGAACAGGACAGCCAGGGAAATGGTTGAGTCCCCATCCCTGGAAGCATTTAAAAGACCTGTAAAAGTGCTTAGGCACATAGTTCAGTGATGGGCTTGGCAGTATTAAGTTAATGGTTGGACTCAGTGATCTATAAAGATCTTTTCCAAAGTTTATGATTGTATGAAAGAGCGGCAGAGTGGCCATTCAACTTCAGTTTAGTGGTTCAGGTTTGCAATAGGAGCATCCCTGTTGCAGGGTGTGAATTTGGCTCACCGTTGTAAATGATGAATGGGAGCTCAGGCTGTGTGAAATCTTCGTGCACACCCAAACAAGTCAAACGCAAGTGCGTTCTGGGTTTCCTTAGGAATGACACCAGAGATGGACAAGGGAGAAGGGAATCAGGAAATTTCAGCATTTCACAGGGGGCTCAAGGCCTCGAGCTAGTTTGTTTTTAGACTTAGAAATGGCCACAGCACACACTGCTGCCTACTCTTGGACACCTGCTGACACCTTTTCACAAAATTGAAGCAGACAGAAACATTAAAAAAAAAAAAGCCAAGCTCATTTCTCAGATGAGGTTCTGGATCTTGGCAGAATTTGCACTAAGAAGGAAAATTTCATTTGAAGTAACTGGAGATCACACTGGCTGAATTGAGGACACTGTCTTGGAGTTCAAGGAGCTTTCCAGTCTAATTACAACTTGCACATTTTTAGCTTTTGCACTAAGAAGGAAAATTTGAAGTAACTGGAGATAACATTGGCTGGACATTGAGGACACTGTCTTGGAGTTCAAGGAGCTTTCCAGCCTAATTACAACTTGCACATTTTTAGCTTTTCAGTTCAAATCTTTGCTTTACAGCAGCTCTTTTTGTATGGCAGGTACAAGAAGTATATGGCTATCACAGATGTCCAAGTACTCTCCAGGTGATTAATGAGGCGATTTCAACACACCACTACAACTTGGAGTGAGCAAAAAACAATATTAAGAGGAAAACCCAAGAGCACCAGTTATCTGAAAGACTCATCCTCTTGATAGATCTAATGCTTATAAGGGTATGACTATGTAACAAAATTGTCCCAATTCACAGAGGAGGCTGGATTCACACATAAAAAACATAAGGAAAGTCTTCCACTCCACATGGTAAACCAGGAACCTTGGTCAGGCTCTTGGTTTAGAAAAACATAAGGAAAGTCTTCTACTCCACATGGTAAACCAGGAACCTTGGTCAGGCTCTTGGTTTTCCTGTAAAAAAAACCCCACAGGAATGTCACAGAATTGTCCCCTCTCTCAAGACTCAGGGTACACCCAACTAAACACAGCTTGTATGTGAGGACAGATGACTGCATCCAGTTTCTTTGCTATCTTAAGTGAGCCAAATTCATTTGACAGGGAGGGCTCTTGTTCAACCTGTACTTCAGCCCATTCATGGTCAGGCATGTTTTGCTCCCAGCTTTCATTGCACTGCTGAGGAACAAGCAAAGGTTTCTGTGTGCAAATCCCTGTGGGAGAGCCAGGCAGTAAAAATTTAGGACACCAAATTTGCACTTAATTATATGAGAGGCTGTACACCTACAGGCCTTCTCCATGCAAGGATTAGGGAAACCAAGTTAGAAAACAGATTAATTCCTCTGATAAAAACTGGAGCTCTCAGGCTAAACTGCAGGGCAAAAGGCCACTCAGGCCTCAAATTAAGAGAAAAAGGAAACTTCCTCTCATTCAACATCAAAAGCCTTCAGAGGATCTTTAATGCATGAACTGGCACCTAAAGTGGCCAGACTCTTCCTATGAGTCTGCAAACCATGAGCTGCAGGGGAGCAGAGTGGAACAGAAGTGTCTGCATTTGCAGTGAAAGGGAGAAAGGCAATGGCTGTGTAACCCCATGTATTTTCCTCTTGTGCAACGGAATTTTCTCCTTACACTAAAGAACAAGGACAAACTGGACCCGCAGTCTGGTGAAACAGTTTGAAACAATACTGAAACCCACTAGGATTTTCATCCTTGCTGTACGAGTTCTGTGTATGTCATACTAACCCAAGAGGCACTGGAGAAGAGCTACAGCTAAAGGGTGAGCAGACTACATAGAAAGAAAACTTTTCTTCTTATAAATCTGGTGCAGTTCTCTTTATCATGGATTGTACTTGAGTTTTTCAGAGGGACTGCAACTCTGTGATACCTTGCCTTTTTACACTTCACTGTAAAGAAAAAAAAAACAGTCTGCCAGTCTAAACCTGCTTCATCTACCTTTGCAAATAACTAGCACATGGGAAACAGAAGGGCTTGTTTTTGAGTTTATAAGTCATTGTTGTTTGGGGGCTTTACTATTTCCATCCTAAATCTAATGAAGTGATTGAAACAGTTTTGAGAGAATAAAAAAAGAACCCTCCTCAGGTTTTGCCACAGCCAGATACAATGGGATGAACATCAGCACAACACCTTGCAGCCCAAGCTCTCAACAACAGCTTTGGTTGCTCAAGAATGACATCCCAACTTAAGTAATTTTTCAAATACTAAAGTAAAGCAAAGTAGACACTCACTTAATCCCTGGGACATCCAGAAGGTTGCTCATGCCTGCCCAGTTGATTTCCAAATGCTATAACAAGATAGGGGAGAAAATATTATACAGGTCTATTAAAATTTATTTTAAAATAAATGTAGAATTTAGAAGGGAAATGCTTCCAGAACAAAGCCAGACGTCTAAAGTAAGGAAAATCTGCATCACCAATTGCACCTGTACATTAGAATCAATGGCTGGTATCAATTCCCTTATCTATTTTATCTGCCATCCTGAATTGAGGGTATCACTGGAACTTAACCTGCAAGAAGAAGGAAAGTCATCATTCAGCCCTTAGCAATGGCCACTGGCGCATGCCCTGGGGTCATGAAGGAAATTCAATAATTCTATTAAGACTTTGAAGTTGTTTTCTCATCCTTTCACTTTAGGGGTTGGCCCATACCCTGAGGCAGAGGGATTTACAAATACCACCGGTTTCAGGAGTCTGTATTCCTATTCCTACAATAAACAAAAAGAGGTTCTTTCATGTGCTAAAATAATGCTGCTACATCTAAACACAAAAACACCTCATTCAAGATAAAAAATGTATGACTGTCATGAACTCAAGCAGAGCATAAACCACAAGCAAAGCTGTGTGCTGTAAGATAACTGCTTCTTACAAGACTAGAGGGTTTCTCATATTTTATTAAACCGCAATTGAGTACAAGGGACATGACCTTAAACAGGCAAGCTTTCAAAAGACAACATGAATGGTCTCCAAAATGACTGCATTTAAAATCTGTGAATGAGAAGGTAGAGCAGCCAGAAACTTTGGAGAAACAGCTCCTGTGCTGTCACCATAAGACAGTCCTCCCATTCTTAGAGTGAAGCGAGTAACTGTTTAGGCACTACTACAAAAGTATAGAGTGAATTGACACCCTCCCCGAATTCAAGGGGGACACTGAACAATTAGGAATTTGTCATTTAAGCACCTGAACTGTGAGGTATTCACAGTTTTGCAGTTTGGGTTATCAGTGATGGACAGCTCATGTCACTCACTAAAGACCAAGAAGTCTGCAGAGAGCAGCTCACTCCTGACTCACCGGTTTCTGCATGAAAAACAAGGTCACTGCTCCAACAAAGGGCGCATCGGTTAGGAGAGGTTCCAGGATCACCCGCAACGTCCCATGCAACTGCAAAAAGAGCAGGAAAGCTCAGGGTTAAGGTATTCTCATGGTGCAGCTTCAAAACTGTGAGCTTTTCAGTGATGGAGATAATTTTAGAAATTCTACTTGAAGTAATTTTATTTAGAATTTTATAACAAAAAACTTTTCCCCCCAAACCATTGCTACTGATACCAGGCAATGTTTTCTGTGCTTGTGGAGTCCCTCTGCAATCCTGCCATACAATGGAGCCATCTGTCTACTAGCTTTCAACATTCCAGGAACAGGTTCTTGGTTTAATCTAGTTTATGAACATCATGGTTCTTCTGAAGTTCTCTACCAACACTCTGAGCTCCTCTGAACTCCAGTGGCAGCTGCTGGCCCGCACATAGTCCATGCTCCAGCATCAAACCTGTTTAAGAGTCATTCTATGAAGCTCAGAAGTGGTATCTAAGTGCTTTCCATGGAAGGCCTCATTTCTCCAGCCAAGAACAAGGAGATAAAGCCAATCACTCCAAGCCTGATAGTTGCTAGTTTCCCAGCTGTCATGACCTCCCCACAGGGAGGTGCTACCTCCTGCCCCACACAGCCCTGAACAGACAATGTTAGCACTGCACGCACCTGTACACCTTTCACGCCAAGATTAAATTTCGATATGTCCATGTGAATCTCACAGTCCCCTATGTAACTGAAAGAAAATTCTCACATTATTCCACAGTTTGCAATAGTCCCATGAGAAATTTGGGGCTGTACAGAGTATAAATGAAATCAGTTTAAGGATTGACAACATGATCCCACAGGCAGAGATGGATTTTCAAGTGACTGAAAAGGGGAAGTTGAACAAAGGTCAGATCTTTCACAAGAGAAACCTTGCAGTCAGCTGGGACATTGATGTATCTGCAAAACATTGAAGCAACATCTGTATTTCCAGATTACTTTTCCATTCTTAAGACTGGGGGTTGGCTGGAGCAAGCTTGCTCCAAGAAGGGGACCAAGATGCTCATTCAAAATTCAAGGTCAGAGCCATTGCCCTCTTGCTCCCTCCTCCGCCAAAAGCCTGATCCCACCCCACAACCTGGTGACCAAGCTCCCAGGCTGGTGCAGAGCCATCCTGCCATTATTTATGGGGTTCCCACCTGGCCCAAAAAAGCCCACAGATCACCCATGCCCACAACCCAAAAACTCACCTGAAGGACAAATTTATGACTAAAAATAACCTGGTTTCCTTGAGGCTGAATTCAAACACATCTACTTAGATCAGATTTTGGTCAGTTGCCATGGAGAACATCAGGCTTCAAATAAAGAAAATGCTGAATGCGGTACTTTGGCAATTTGGAAAGCACCTCAGACTTTCATAAAAGTACAAACATCACCTTATGCAGAAACCAATAGCCACTCCCCAGGGAGCAGAACTTGACAGATCTGTTGATGCCTCTGGCAGAAAACAATTGAATGGAGCTACCAAGTTCCCTTTCAGCCCCCTGAGAAATAGCTCTGGCTGCCGACACACAAACACCCTGCAGGTAAAGCAGGGTGTAAGGTACTGCAGCAGTGAATGTGCTGTGCTTGCTGCCTACATGCATAGCTTCACTCCATAATCAAAGGAAAAGGGCAGGAGTTCTGCTCTGACCACATGTATTTGGGCAAATAGTGCTGCAGTTGCCACAAGTTCGAACTGTAATTTGCATATAGACAGATTCCCTCCCACCCCAAAAAAAGCCTGCCAAGAATGTGGAACCCTGTAAATTTGCCTCCACTTTTGCAAGCAAAGTCCTCTGTATATTTGTTTACAGGTAGTCACCTAGCAGAATTTCAGGAGCTCATAACACATAGAATAAAGCCTTTAATGTTAGAGCATTCCCATTTCTTATTTCCAACCTCATAAACCATGCCGAAATTAACATAATCTTTCTTAAAAGCTAGTGACATAATTAAACTTATTTTATGTTTGTTAACTTCTACAATTTTGACATTATCTTACAGGTCATTACACTGTGTGCTAATAGAGCATTGTTACAATAAAATTCTAAATGAGAAGCCAAAATTAGTTCCTTAATTTGCAGTAATTAATCCAAGAGGATTTAAGTCGGCTTTTGCAAGTGTCTAACACAGCACAAGTAAGAGCCGTGGTGTTTTACAGCCTTTCTACCTTTCCACACAGTCAAAACCTCTTCCCACTCAGTTCTAGATGTCTCTTTTCTCCAGTAAAGATGTCAGAGAAGTCTTATCAGAGCCTGAGCGTTTAATTAGCCTTATGTCTGCCTCATACAGGTATCACCCCCTTCCTTGGCAGGAAGGATGAACTCTTTGTTCATTAGTTTATTCCTCATTTCCAGTCCCAGCTGCTCATGCTTCCATCTGCTCCTCTGTGCAGCATAACCTTGCTGCGCTCTATGCTGTCCTGCCCCAACACACCTGAGCCAAACTCAAGCCTTGACACTTAAAAGGCTGAGGCTGAGCCCCTCCACAGGACTGTGCTCTACCCACCTGTGGAGGGTGGAAGAATCACCTGTTTCTCTCCTACACCACTGTTGCACAAGGTGATGCAGATATGCCTGTGCTGTGGATGAGAACCTTGCTCAAGTGCAAGTATCTGTGTCTGTTCTGTACTTGGTTGGAAAAGCAGAGCCCAGTGTTTATAATACAAAGGCAACCCACAAAGGCAGGGCTGCTACCAGAGCTGACAAGTTTAACTAAGCTGGATGTCTGCAGGTCCCTTTAGAAAAAGCCCAGGCAATTCCCTGCCTGTAAAGTAACTGCCCAGGGGCCCCATCTTCTCATGGCCCCCATGCTGAAAGCCCCTTTGGCCCAGCCTCCTCAAGTGCTTTGTAACACAGACTAGGCTTATTCTGCCTTTGCACTTGGGAGATGAACGTGCAGAATTACACAAAGTAGAGAGATAAGAAAATGTAACCAGGCAACACAGGGTATGAGAAAAGCTAGATCACCTCTGCCTTTCCCCTCTCCCTGTCCAGTCAGGCTTCTAGACACAGGTATCCCTTTTTGCTTAAGACTGACCAGTTTCCAAAATGCTTTCAGTTTCTTCTAAGAGCCTACAAACTTAGTTATCCCAAACTCCACTAAAGCTCAAAGTATTGTTGCACGTTTCTTTTGACTTCTTTCACCAGACAGAGACTGTATTTCCAGCTCTCAAAATTTGACAGGAAATCAAAGATTGTCTTCTAAGAGTAAATTTTAATAAATGAATTTTTACACATGCCAATTATTAAACTATTCTCCTGTGACATCTCATGTACTGTAAATTCTACAGATCATGCAAAAGAAAATTCAGAACGTTTCCAATGAAAAATGCTTGTGAATACTAAATCATATTCATGAAATAGGAAGAAACTGGATTGCAAGGTGGTTTCCAGTGAGGTAATAGTGCCTTCAAATACTTGCAAACTCTGATGATAGTAGCCTATGATGATATGGCTATGCAGCAGCTCAGGCAGCTGCAAAATTAGTGGAAAGGAAAACAGTTGTAGGAAGTCAAGCAGCTGCACTTGGACCACTCCCACTTTGAAAAATGGAGTATATAGTCCTTTTGCATGGGACAAAGTCAAAACTATAATAGGACAGTGCTACAGCACTCTATATGCTACAGCCATGTAAGCTGCTGTGAACAGATTTAGGTAAAACAGCTTCTCAAGTTCTTTTGGTAACTTCACCCAGTCCCAGATCACCTGCATCCCTGACTGTGTTGACAACTACAGCCCATACAAATAAGGGACCTTTAAGCCCTATTTTTCACACTTCCCAAAGCAAAGGATGCAATTTGTGATATCACAAACTTATCACAGAGGAAAGGAAGCTCCTCTTCACATAGCCCACAGAAGTGAACCACGGCATTCAGTGCTGCACCATGTTGGTGAGATCAGGAGCACAAGGGGAAACAAAGTCCTTCATGGATCGCATGTCTATGAGTGGCTAATAAACTACACAAATGGTTCCACACAGACGACAAAGGAAGGGTAAGAAGGAAAGGTTTTTTTCTACTCCTACCCTCTTCCTGTGTTTTCTCCATATCAAATCAAAGACTCTGGGCTTCAGCAACTATTTGCCTTCTTGATAAAACTGAAGGAAAATAATCTGTCCTCCTGTGCTACTGAGAGACTAAAAGCAAGAAGCATTTACAGAGCACTGAAACCTAACCCTAACCTAACAGAGTCACTGTGTTGCCAGCACTGCACAGTGCACCCCACAGGCACCCACAGCACTTCACTCTCTTCTCCAGTGCTGTGATGCCAGCACACAGCCCTGTAAACAGATCATTTAAACCTCAACAGCACAGTGACCAAGAGGTAGTGAAGGGAACCTCACACTGGGGCAACTCAACTCCATCTCCTCTAAGTAGCAAAAAACCTGTACTATTGGTAATCCAGAAAAAGGCAGGGAAATAATGGCACTGATCAGAGATTTGCCTCTCCCTGTTCCTGAAAGTAACACACAATCTCTTGCAGACACTGCAGGATGCACAACACAGCTTAGTTCAGCTTAGTTGTAGTCATTGATATTAACATATGAACACAAGTGAAGCTAAGGCCTTAACACAGCCCTAGAGAAGAGACCCTCACCAGAGAGGGAAGGCAAACCCACACTCCTGTGTGAATACAGAAAATACTGTGGTTATCAGATAGCACCAGTTTGGGTTAGGTTACCAGCACGAGGAACAGAAGTGCTTGGCCAGTTTGGAGATGTTGATGGGTCTGCCAGAGGGACAGGAATGCAGAAGTGGGGGAATCCCTCTGCAGAGGTTTGTCAAAAGACAGTGAAAATGAAATGTGGGAGAAGCAGTTTGGCATAGAACAGCAGCAATCTTCTGCAAGGCTTAAAAGGCATCAGATCTCTCAAACTCAACATAGAAAGCTTGAATGATTTGCCAAAGGCCCTAACATTGACTTGGGTATTACAACAACAGCACTGAAACACCTGGCTGAAAATCAAGCACGTGAATTTACAGGGAGCAGTGATGCTCTGCCAGGGCTGGGGGTGCTGCCGTGGCACTGCCACGTTCAGCAGCAGGCACAGTTCTGAGGAGCTCTGTGCTGTTGCCAAGACAGTCTGTAATTTCACAGCTTTTTTCTGGCACTACCACTAAAAGCCAATTTATATTAGGCAGCTCAGTCACCCACTAAATTTAGAGCTATAGCAGCATGCAAGTGGTAATTCCCCCAGCAATTCCCTTCTCCAGGGCTAAACCATGAGAGAGTTTAGCTCTGCAATGACTCTGATGTTAACAAAACATACAAGCTCATTCAAAACAGCCTGGGAGGTATTAAATGTTTTATCCAATTTTGTTGTTGTTGTTGTTAATAGAGCTAGAGGCAGTATTCTGCTCAGAGAATAGCTGTAATCAAAAAAGCAAATGTGTTGGAAAGCACATAAAACAAATGACTAAAATAGAGGATTAATCTAGAGGAAATAATTAAAAAATAAATAGTGCAAGTAGCTCTGGAAGAACTGGAGAAGTTGGTCTGATGAGAAACCACAGTGGGCAAGACAGACCAAGCACCTTCAGACCTGAGAGCTTTCCTGAGAACAGAAAACAGTTTGAAAACTTGGGTTCTCACTGCCATCAATGGCAAAGCCAAGGGACACATTCTTATACACATGGCAGTCCTGATGGGCCAGAGGAGGTAACATGCAGAGCTGTGCAGGTCATTTCTGGTCTACAGGCTGATGCACATTTCACTTCTGTAACTACTGAGGACATCCAGCTGGGAGACAGATTATCTCACATCATTCTAGGCTAATCTTAGTACACCAGGCCCAGTCCAGCATGACACATACACAGGCAGTAAGTTAAGAACCATCAACATAATCGATTATGCAATGTTACCAGATCTGCAGGTCCAGGGTAACCTGTCTTCTATCAATTTCTTTGGTGTAGGTTTTTATTCCATTAATTCTAGGGCACTGAAATAGAGACAAATAAGATACAACATAGTGAACATCTATCAAGATAAGCACAAGTGAAAAGTCCTACTCAATTTGATGAATTTGAAAATTAAATATTTGCAAAACTGCATGTAAAATATGAGTATACCATGCTTTTTTTTTTTTCGTTTAAAGACAGAACAGCCTTGACAGTCCTCAAACATAGAGCTAGTTGCAAGTAGCCCTAGACCATCCTCCAAGCCTCAGAAAGCACTGAAAATTCCTGCTGCAAGGGTACAACATAAATAGATATGGACATGGTTCTTTTTTTCTATCTGCAGTCCCAGGATACTGACAGCACGTGGGAAGAGATGTGTGTCTTTCTTGTACAATCCTTCCTTCATGGTGAAGATGCTCAAGTCAACATGAGGAGGGAGCAAAGCTATTACAGAGCTGATCATCTCACTTCCCTTGCATCTGAACTTTGTTGAAAAGAGCGAACCACAAGAGTTACAGAAGATTCCCACTACCTTCTCGCCAAAGTGGATCTTGGTAAAGGTGCATGTTTTCAGATGTACACTCTTTGCTCTGATTTTTGGTTCAAGAACTTCTTTAAATGTTTTTTCCATAATTGTTCCGAAGTATGGCCAAGCCTGCACAAGGACCTAAAGAACAGCGAAAGCAAGAACACACTGAAGATTCTTTGAGCAATACAACTTTTGCTGAGAAAGAGACACACCCATTACAGAATCCTGGCTATTAATATCTGTCCTTTTAAAATACCAAGTCAACTTTGTGCACTTAAGTTATCCTTATGGAAGGATCCATCTCTGTTCCTCAGAACTGGAATTTGTTTCAGGAACTGAAGGGTGAGTTTTCAGTACCATGGAGGCTGCTTCTAACCACAGGAGCCAACAAAGCCCACAGTTACATTTCTTAAGTACAATAATCCCTAATTACTCTAAAGTGTCACAATGTTCCCTGGAGTTAGGTTTATTTAGAGGATTGAGATGAGCTTTTACATAAAAAAGAAAATTTGCTAAAAAAAACCACCAAAAAAGAAGATAGATGCTAATTTGCAAGTTCAGCTGTTTTACTTTGAGAGGTTGACCACACCTGCTGATGGAAGCATTTATCTCAGTGCTCTCTGGAACCTTTCTGGTAAGAGGAGACACCACTAAGTTTGCTAAAATAATAATAACATGTATCCATATGTACAGACAAACAGTTGCTTTTTCTTTTTACCACTACGTTTGCTAAAATAATAATAACATACATATGTATGTATCCATATGTACAGACAAACAGTTGCTTTTTCTTTTTAGTCTCAGAATGAAGTGTTGTTGAATTTATCCAACTTCTATCAACCAGGCTCACATTAGCTCTCACCCTCAGTGGCAACCCCACACTTAAGTGACTCCATACTTCAGTATAGACACTGATAAAACTGAACTACACTAATTTGGTAGTAATTTGATAACTTTCTCAGATTTGTCCCACAGGGTTTGGATGAGAGGGATGCAGCTCAGAGCAGGTGGCCTCACCAGCTGGAGTTCAGAGCTCCTCACCTTGTTCAGCCACTCCACTCGTTCAACATCAGGGAAGTGAACCTGGATGCAAAGAAAAATAAAGTGAGTGCTATGTGCCATCTCTTTGAGCACACTGCAACACATGCAAAAGATAGCATTGAGTGTGGAACAAGTGTTAGAGTAAGCTGAGATGCCTCTGCCCTCATACATACATCCTTTATAATTTACTACCTCCTTGAAAAATTGTAAAATGCAAAGAAGCCAATAAAGAATAGTAAAAGGCAGAAGAACCCACGTGCACTGATGTATCAGTATGCCTCTGGGCACATTTACATGATTATAGCAAGTGTCACTTCCTGTTCATGATGTAAAGCAGCATTAGATTTCTCATCCTTCTCTTTGTCATGCCTTGGGAAGCCACGAGAACCCACTTCCCTTTAAGACCATGAGCTGTGCAGGACCCGTTTCCTGTACTCGCTTGCCTCAACCAGGACACCACACTTTGGAAAACAAGAACCTGCTTGGGAAACTCAGTGTATTGGTTGTGGCAGCATTTCTCCACTAATACCAACATGGTGCCAATGGCTTCAGGGAAAAGAAGAGTAAGAGTTCAAGCCTGTTAGCATACACTATCATGTGGAACAGTCCAGTGTTTTCATTTCTCTGAGCTTTTTAAGATGGTAAGGAGAAATTAAAATGAAATAGTCACTTATACATCATGTTTTCAAGTTGGACACACCAAATGCCAACAAGAAGTGTATATGCCCATTACAAAACCCCGCCAGTTCCCTGAAGTGATGACTTGCTTAATCACCATCAGGACAACTGGGTATGAGACCACTCTCAGAGCCCTGCAAGACGCTGCTGACTGAAGAGTTACAATCACCTTACTACAATCACACATTAAAGCCTGTGGATGAGGTATTTGCAGCTGGTAGCAGGTTACTGCAGAAGGGAAGGACACTGCAGCAGCTTCTCAGAACAGACATTGGAGCACCTGAACACAAAGGGAATCTGACTATCATCTCAGCCTGATAATAGTAACTGGGTAGGACAATACTTCCTCTTACAAGAGCTGTGAATTACACTTTTCAGGAAAAGCCTTACTATTCATCAGCTTTCAGAGAGGTGCTCAGAGATGTTTGGATGGAGTGCACAGTAGCCTGTTTTTTAGTATATGCTTCATATATGATTGAAGAGCCCATTTTCCTTGCTCAAATAATGCTTCAAATGATCTCATTTAAAAACCCCAAAGTAATATTACCACATTCTTTATAAGAAATTTCTTTTGATGCTCTAAATAGCAACTTTTCCATTAAATAAGACAACAGAAGTTCACTGAAATGTCAGCCTGCACAGGTCTATTTGCACGATGAAGCGAGAACTCAGCACCAGAAGGGACAATCAACACAGACAAACTGCTGCTGACATTTTACAGTGAGGCAGATTATGTGAATCAGGGGACCTCCACTTCACCTGCCAGCCTTTCATCTTCCACCTAAAGGCCCTCCACCAGGGCACATAAATCCTGGGTTCTCAGCTCCAATGTAATTGCCAAGCAAAAACATCCTGCAGCACTTGGGCCACAGCTTGGGATCAGATGCAGGAAGGATAGAGCAGAGATGGAAGCAGCAAATGGATGGTGAGCTTGTTCTTCAAAACACCTTACAGATAGGAGAAGGATGTGAGCCAAAAGAAGGGACAGGACAACAGTTAGGCTACCCCTTCCCAGTGAGAAAGTCACAGCTCATATGTGCAAGGGAGAAATGTGGGGCATTATAAACCATTACAGTTGTCTGGGATTATTCACTAGAGGCAAGGCTCCTAGAGACCTGAAACAGCAAAAAGGGGCATCAGGAAAGATACAAAAACCATGAGAATGAGGCTGTAGGTAGACCCACCCTAAGAAAAAGTAAAATTGAATTCATTATTGGTGCCACAGACACCCGAACCACCGACAGCCCACAACAAACCTCCAAAGCAACTGCAATGAATCACACTGCACTGTGTCACACCTCAGATGCTGTGATTGCAGACATTTGTGGTACATTTCCACCCCACCTGACACCCCCTCATTCAGGTGTCTGCAGCCCAGGTCCCACCCAGGCACTGGGTGCCTCAGTTTCCTCTGACAGATGGAAGGAATGGCACTGCTGGAGCTCAAAGGTTGGGACCACAAACCACCAGGGGCGCCTGGGCTGATACAGCTGGCCTTGCAGAGAACACCAGACACTGGCTGATTACATGACTGGTGAAAAACAGTTTTCTGCCCTTTCTCAGTTGAGTGGGTTCTCAATACCAAAGTTCAGCTCCACTCAGTGCTATGAGCTAAATGAGCAGTTCTGTGAGGAAGCAGAGCTCGGTATCCAGGTGTTGCAACTGCGTTATCCACTGTGTAGTAAGACACAAGCTCTGAGCAAGTCCTTTCCTACCCACAGGGTATCCCCATAATATGAATGCTGGCTAGCATATCTAGTTCATGGCTAGTTCAGCCCAGTGACACCACCAGGCTCCTGACTCACTAGTCTTCTTGACTCAACCATTTATTCCAAGAATGTAATGTATCCTAATATGTTTTGAAAATAAAACCATCTGTAATTCCATACTTCTGAACCATGTGCTCTGGATTTCAGACTCAATTCTGGCCCTTGCTACTGGTGAGAGCTGCACCAGGCAAGGTCTTGCCACGAGCTTGTCATCAGTACAGGTAGGAGGAGCCCAAAACACTTCCTACTAATCCCAGAAGCAGACACCAAGAGCTGCCAAATTAATACTAACATAGAGTAAGATTTAATCCTGTAGCCTTGGGCAAGTCCCATTTTCAGAATCAGTTTTACCCATCTATGAAAGAAGGCATACTTCTTGCCAAAGTTTAAGGAATGCAGTAAAAATTACTTAGCATTTGAACAGAGCTTTGAAGATCAAAAACACTAGGTAAGGGACAATTACTAGCAAGTAAAGAAAATGTGCAAGTTCTGCATGACTCCACCTTGCCCTGGAGCAAGCCACCACAAGGATCACAGCAACAGCAAAACCCATGTCTGACACAACAGCACCATTCTGTTCAAATACAACACAGCAATCTATCCATCAGGGTTTGGTTTGGTTTCTTGCTTGTTTGTTCGGTTGTTTTGGGTTTTGTTGGGGATTTTGCCGTTTTGTTTGTTTCTTGTTTTAAAAAGCCAAGATTTTTAGCTATTCATACAAGAGGGGAAAAAAAGAAGCTTAAACAAGGCTTTTGCATGAACAAGGACTTAAAAGGCAACATTTTAAAATGACAGTTCTGTACCAAGTGGTATTTTGCCTGGTAAAAGGAGTTTAACATCAGGAAGAAACACAGCATACTTGGATTCTGCCATGTGCAGCCAGATAACCAGTGGCAAAAGCAACACAGAGCAGTCACCACAACCCCAGGAGCTGGAATGAAGGTGGAAGCCTGGCTACCTCTGCTCTGAGCACTGCCAGCTTGTACAGAAGTCATGCTAAAGGCTGAAGTCAGAAGGTCTCAACTCTCCAAGCCATGGATCTGACTGTGCCTGCCATGAGCAAATATCCAGCCTGGTTTCCTGAGGAAGCACAGCCTGCCCACGTACACTGTCTAGCACAGGAATGTGTCTATTCCAAACTCACTGGCTGGCTTCAGCCAAGAAACTGGTGCTGCAAAACAATCCTGAAAATACCCCAAAACAGATGGTTGAGTAGATTAGGGAAACCCTCCCAGCATCCCCCCTGAAGGAATGGCTGCATTCTGTGTATCTCCTAACAACTGATACCAGGACTGAGCAGAACCTGAGCCAATTTAAAAAAGCCATTTCCTATGGAGAACAATTTTTAACCAACAGCAAAATCAATGTTTGCTCTTAACTCTCAGTGGATGGAGTCCCCTCATTTTATTACAGACCACATGAAGAGACAAAGATTTACGAACACCAAGACACTGCCATCATTTCACAGCTTCAGAACCTTTCCTAAGATTACAACACTGCAAATCCAAACCATGCTGCCCTTGAACTGTATTGCTACTGCCACCTCTGTGTGACAGGAGAGAAGAACTCAGCAGATAGTTTTAGAAGGTCCATGAACACTGAAAGGCAAAACCAAAAGATAAAAAAGATAACACCACAGACAATAAACTGAACAGACATCAGGTGAGAATCAGCCTCCAAGATGGGCATATGGAAGAAGTAGATCAAATAGAGGATGGGGATGGAAGGAAAATTAAAACCGGGGAGTTAAAAAGCATCAAGGATAAGAGTAGTGTGGAAGCAAATACCCAACTGATGAACAAAAGTTACCAACACACAAAAGGAAATATAGATAGAACTAAAAGCACACTGTGCAGTCCCTTTATCATTAGGTCCTATACCCTGCCTTCCAGGAGTAAGGGCCAAGAATTCACAAGTCACAAATCAGACCTCTGGAAAGTCTGACTCTAGCATCTCTATGAGCATATGCTGGGCAGTGGGAGATAGAAATGAGACAGCCCTTAAACTTCCCTTTCTCCTGAAGGAGGCTGAACAGCCCCAGCATTGCCAGACCCCAGGTGCTGCAGCCCCTGACCATCTCAGTGGCCTCTGCTGCAGTCTCCCCATTTGCCCAAACCTCTCCTGGGTTGGGGCACAGAGTGCTCTCTGTGCAGCCTTGTGAAGGCCCAGTACAGGGCAATCAATAATGGACCACCTGCTCCCACACTAATGAAGCCTGAAACTTTCAGCCACAAAACCTAATGGAACTTTTTGAATTTGTGTGCACTGTTGGGGCAAGCCTGATTTTTCAACAGTGACTAAGAGGCTCAATTTCTGGTTACAATGATTCAGGGCACTTGAGGATAAAACACAACACTGCTCTCACAGCATCAGGGCAAGAGCTGACACCACCACATTCATTAATGCCCTGAACTGTTGTTTTTTTGGTTTTGCTTTTTTTTTTTTTGTTTTGTTTTGTTTATGCTCTGTCAATACAAACAAGCAGAAACCTCATTCAGAGACAGACTTCTGTGCCTGGTGGGAGGGAACATGTGCAGGGAGCTGCATCAGCCCTGGCAGGAGACCCTGGCCTCACTCCTCCGAACTGCCAGCTGCCTTCAT